AGAACTACCGGACACGTGGAAACTTGCAACAATTTCACTGATCCCCAAAAATAATACAGACAACACATCCGTCAGAAACTACCGCCCCATTTCTTTACTTAATATAGATTACAAGATATTTACAGCAATCTTAGCATCCAGACTAACCGAAATATTAACAACAAGTATAAGTGAAGATCAGGTTGGATTTCTACCAAAGAGACAACTGAGCGATAATATAAGAACAGTCATAAACGTAATCGATTATTATGAAAAGAATAATCAAAAAGAAGCTGCGCTCATGTTTCTGGATGCCGAAAAGGCTTTTGACCAGGTCAACTGGGATTTCATCTTAAGCCTACTTAAAGAAATGGACATAGGGTATCAATACCTAAATGCAATCAGTTCCATTTATACCCAACAAGAAGCAAGAATAACAATTAACGCACAACATTCAGAAAACATACCAATCCAAAGAGGCACCAGGCAGGGCTGCCCCTTATCACCAATACTTTTAATCACAACACTAGAAGTACTGCTACGGAGAATCTCTACGAATAATGAACTGAAAGGACTCAGAGTAAAAAAGTACACCTTTAAAACAAGAGCATTTGCAGACGATATAGTCTGCTTCATAGAGAATCCATTAGACAATATAAACAAATGGCTGAAAGAAATAGCAGACTTTGGTGAAGTAGCAGGATTTAAAATAAATAAAGACAAGACGCAAATAATTACTAAGAATATGAAGAAGGAGGACAGACAAAAACTACAAGAAATGTCAGGAGTCAGAATAACACAAGAAACAAGGTACTTAGGAATAACAATAGCATCTAACAATGCTCATTTGATAAAGAATAATTACGAAAAAAAGTGGAAAGAAATTAAAAAAAATCAACATCTGGAACTCCATGAACCTCTCATTACTGGGTAGGATTGCTACTGTTAAAATGAATATCCTACCAGATGTCTTGTTTTTGTTTCAATCATTACCCGTTATAAGATCGAAAACTTTACTTAATAATTGGCGGAAAGAAATCTCCAAATTCATTTGGAGAAATAAAAAACAAAGAATAAGTCATAAGAATTTGTCGGACGACAAAAAAAGAGGAGGTTTATCCCTCCCAGACATCCAGCTGTACTATGAAGCAGCGGCACTGCGCTGGTTGAAGGATTGGACGACACTGGATAAAAGAAAAATATTGGCTTTAGAAGGTTTCGACCTATTTCAGGGGTGGCACGGATATCTGTGGAGAGGCAAAGCAGAGAAGGAAAAGAATTTTAGGAACCATCCAACAAGAGCGGCCTTACATCAAATTTGGAGCAGATACAAAGATAGACTATATAGGAAGACCCCCCTTTGGTTTTCGCCAAATGAAGCGCAACACCTGAGAGAGTTACGCAGAGAAAAGTGGTTAACATACACCCAGATATTAAAAATCAGCCCCAGAGAGACAAAATTAAAAACCCAGGAAGAACTCAAATCAATTGATAAGACCATCACATGGTTCCAATACCAACAAATTCTAGAAAACTTCAAACTAGATGCAAGACTGGGATTTCAAACAAAGGAAACCTTCTGGGACAAGATAATAAAAACGGAAGTCAAGCTGATTAAGAAAATATATTGACAATTGTTAATTTGGGCAACCGAAACCGAACAGGTAAAGGGGAATATGATTCAATGGTCAAGGGACATAGGTAGAGCAATAAACATGTCTGAATGGGAGGAAATTTGGTATCATAAAATTAATTACACATATGCATCTGAAATAAAAGAAAACTGGTATAAATCATTTTATAGATGGTATCTCACACCAGACAAAATAGCAAAATTTAGCAGAGGGAAAATTAAAGACACGTGTTGGAAATGTGGAAAACACAAAGGTAATTACATCCACATGTGGTGGAAGTGTAGTAAGATAAAAGCTTTCTGGCGCGACATTAGCAAGATAATAGAACAAATAATAAGCGAAAAAATAGTACTCAAACCAGAGGCTATGCTATTGGGAATCATAGATTCTATTAAAGATAAAAATGCAGATAAACTGTTCTTCTACCTTACTACAGCTGCAAGAATAGTGATAGCCAGAGTATGGAAATCTAGAGAACTCCCCACAGTGGACCAGTGGTTGTTGAAAGCATGGGATATAATGAACATGGACATATTAACTCAAAAAATATCCCGGAACCCAGTGAAACCACAAAGAACCAACTGGACAAATTTTATAGAGTACATTAAAAGAACAAATAACGAAATGTATATCAGTATGGAATTGTAAATAATCTCAAAGGTATAACAATAAGAAGCCGACGAATGAATCAGAAATAGAATTAAAAGACAAAACAATGTTCATTACTAGATCACCCGCTCAGGAATTCCTGGAAGTATTTTTTAAAGTCACATGGGATGCAGTCAAGGGTGCATCTCCTCGTCCCCTTCCCCTCTTCACCCCCCCTTTTTTTTTCTCTCTTTCTCTCTCTTTTTTTTTCCCCCTCCTCTTCCTTTTCCTTTGTTCCCACTCACGTTGTGTATTACCCATTCTCCCTCCCTCCCTACCCAGCCAATCTCTTTCCCCTCCCTCTCCCGACCCATCTCCCTCTCGATCACCTTATAAAAACTAATTCTAGAAACAATTATCCTGAGAAGTGAGAAATGGAAGAATTTAACAAAGGAAGAATAGGAGGGAAGTACCCAAACTAGACGAAGACGAGGCGAATCAGATTTTGGGGAAGAGATGGGCGGAGGAGAGAGAGGTGATATTTGGCTCCAACCCTTTTCCATACTTGTGAACATGTCTCACACTGAGTCTATGTTTACTGTTCTGTTACAATTTGTTACGATTTATTATGGAGTCCTGTCTTTGTATTTTGTTTTGTCCTCTCTTGTAAATGTTATGTGTTTCACAAATATTATTACTATTACTATTATAAAAATCAATAAAATTTATACAAAAAAAAAGTTTTTTTTAAAAAAAATACTAAATTCTGTGTTATAACTTTTTAACATTCTTTGCTTGTTTGCTTTAAAATTGCAATGGTTTGACTTCTATTGCACTTGTTCCTTTAAAATGCTGTGTATACTGTCCTGGATATTTGACACCCAATAGCTGATTGAATCAGTATAGTATAGTGGTTTGACTGCTGGACTAGGATTCAGGAAAACCAGAGATCAAATCTCCGCTCAGCCATAAAACCCACTGGATGACCTTGAGCAAGTCACTCTCTCAGCCTCAGAGGAAGGCCATTTCTTACTCCTTCTGAACTAATCTTGCTAAGAAAATGACATTATAAGTTCGCCTTAAAATCATGATAATTTGGAGGCAACATAACAGCAGTAACAAAAAACCCGATTATATGACCCTACCATAATTCAGTGAATCATATATGAGGGGCATACATTAAAGATTTTCCCTGACTCACTTCTATTTATCATAGGACGCTGAAACTGCACATGTGTAATGATATAAGTCTCTATAGGTAACTTGCCAATTTACTACTCAGAACTGATAATGGTCTTGATTTTACAGGTGCTGAAGTGGTGTGAGCTTTGCTAATGTGCCCAGTGGAATACAGAGCAGTCCTCAAGTTCCTTTACTTGAAAGGCCGCACACCAAAGGAAACATTTGATGAGATGAAAGAGGTTTATAGTGATGATTCTCCATCATATGATGTACTCAAGAACTGGCATTGTCAATTCAAATGTGGTCAGACTTTGGTGCAAACAGCTCCAATTCCAGGGTGATCCCACTTTGCTATCGATGAACACAACATCCAACAAGTGGGGGTCGCATTTTGGAAAATCACCACATAACCATTCACTACCTAACCAAAAATGTCAAGATTTGTGTGGAGTCCATGGAAAAAAAATCCAAGACCATTTTCACATGCATAAAGTATTCGCTCACTGGGTCCCCCGGCTGCTCACATCTTTTCAGAAGCAGGAATGAGTCGAATGCTCTCAGGCTCTATTGATGATGTGCCATGGGACCAGGACTTTTTCAACATACTGATCACACAGGATGAAAGCTGGGTCCATCATTATGAGCCTGAGACTAAAGTCCAGTCAATACAATGGAAGCATCATGACTCACCTCCAAAGAAGGCACATGCCCAACTCTCGGCAGGCAAGGTCATTCTCACAGTATTTTGGGACCATTGAGTAGTATTGATGGATTTCCTAGCAAAGGGTACCATGCTCACTGGGACATACTATGCTTCACTGCTGCAGAAATTGTAGGAGACCACCAAAAGCAAGAGACATGGCATGATCACCAAAGGTGTCCATCTTCTGCAAGACAATGCACCAGTTCACAACTCACATGTTGCCCAAATGGAAGCATGCTTCTGTGGCTTTGAAATTCTACTGCATTCCCCTTATTCACCCAACCTCACACCATCGGACTTCCACCTCTTTCCAACAATGATGTTATTTTTGAAAGGCAAGCATTTTTCAGATGATGAGACTCTGATTTCCAAAGTCACAACATGGCTTTTGGAGGAACCTGTCGGCCTCTACAAGTGAGGTGTTTACTGTAGATTAAAAAGATGGGAGAAGTGTGTGTCCCAAGGTGGCACCTATGTAGAGAAGGACTAATAACTGTGCCAAGTTTCATTGCTCTCAGTCCACAGAAAGTGGGTCAGGGGAAATCTTTAACGAACGCCCTTTGTAATCTACATATAAGTAGAGGCTTTCAGTTTCAAGTCCTTTCCCTTCCTGGAAAAATAGAATTCTTACCAAAATGTTTTCAGCTGTTCTAAAAATCTTTGAAGCAATCTTATATCACTGAGGACATCCTGGCATATCATTACTTAAGCTGTATGCCAGAGATAATGCTGATTAATCCAGTATAATTCTAAACAATTTTTATGCATGCCACGGAGAACCACAACACTCCGGTAAAGTGCCATCTGTATCCAAGCCCATCTAATGAGATAATGTTTGAGAATAATAATTACTTTCATCTTAAATGCAGTAAATGCTTAGGAAGCTTTAGACACATTAACAAAGAGTATTGGACTTTGAGTAAATTCATCTTTATTTGATAAATCACGCCATGGTCCCCATGAGAGGGTCAGAACTGGGGTCCCCTCACATCATCACCAGCTACATCTTCTTACAGAAAAGCATCCCTATGCCTTATTTTACTATGATAAATAGACACTTTTCACATCATATATATATAAAAAACCAAAAGTTACATTATATACACAGAAATAATGTAGGGATAGACTGAGAGATAATAAACCCATAAATAAATGTGATGTATAAAAAGGCCTGAAGTACAAGAAAATTTAATGTTGTTCCCTTGTGAAGATCCCACCTATGTAGATGTTTCCATCTAAGTATACTTCATCAAGAAAGAAGTCCCGCTCTTAGTTCCCATCCATGCACTAATACGAGACTTTTATCCTTTTAACTGCAATGCCCGTTCTCAACTACAGCATTTGCTGTTCCATAACTGTATAAATAGCATCCTTTATTTCAAATCTACACAACTGTGAGATGCCTAGCAATCTACAAGTCAACTAGGTGAATTCTGGTGCAGCAAGGCCCACTGGATCCACAATTTCAACCTACCATGGATCACATCATGCCCCATATTATTAAATTGTGATGTCATTAATGCAGACACACAGAAGTTTGCATTGCCAACATTATATAATATTGAGCGTGATCATCCGGATATTTTAGTATCTATTCAAAGTCCCAGAACTAAACCCTTGTAGAGCCGAAGAACACACTGTATATTAAGTAATCAGGAAACCTAGCTAAAAAGTAATTAATTCTCTGTGATTCGTTTAAACTTTCCAAATGGAACCTTTTGAAGTGTTAGGCATGCTTAATCAATTCACCTAACATCCACAATTCACCTAGACACCATTTTAATTTTGCCACTCCACCTGATTGGTGGCACAGCATACCTGGAAATAGACCTTGGTACTACCAGTTTCATCATGGAGGTAGTTTCTTATCCTTCCTGTGTTGTGACTACCATCACTGTGAAGTCCTCTTTGAGAAAAGGGTGGTACACAAACTTCGTCCTGTGCACTTAAACCAGTGTCTGTGATAAATAACTCCTGAAATGCACCTGAGTTGCAAGCTTGTTCTACAGGATGTTCACAGGATCCACATTGTCAGTTGAAGTGAGTTATACAAAACAGATCCAATCATGACTCAGTGCTAACAAAGAAACTTCCAAGGCATCCACAGAAAGTTAAGTGTTCAGAATGAACTTATAGGATCAAAATGAGGCAGAACACACAAACTGAACTTTTGGAACATACCCACTCATCTTCTGGGGGATGTGGGAAACTTCCATTAAACTGCATCTTTTACTAAATTCATGGAGTTTCACCTTTTATTACATCCAAGGAACTGAGGAGGATTGAGAAAGGACTTCAAAATGATAGTTAGACAAAACTTTCTTTTTAGATCATTCTGTGGGTGGAGTTTCGACATGTGACATCAATAAGATGTGCACATGTTGGATGTTATATAACTGTTTCAATATCTGAAACCTCCCTTTTTCCTGGTTTGCATGTATTTTCAGATGCACAGGTTTTCACCTGCCCATAAAACTGTCAACAGGAGACATAGAGAAAAAATGTCTTTTAAATCAATAGTCCCACTCCTATATCACTGCCCACCTGGTGCAATTAAATGTGGCCAATGGCAGACAGAACTGATTCAAGGACAATGTACAGTAGTGTGGACTTCACCAGAGAAACAAGCACCATTGAATTCCCTTATTAGGTGCTTACACATTTTTATTTATTCTGTGTTTCAGGGAATTCCAAGTCTTTCAAACTTGTTTTTGATTTCTACTTCCGCCACTATCTTTTCTCTTCTTGTCTTGCCTCTCATATCATCTGTTCAAAGCTAGAGCCACTCCTGTTGAAAAGAAGCTTCCTAGACCCTCTTCTATTGCAAGAAAAATCAGTCAAAACCAATCTGCTTTGACCAAGGATGAGGCTATCTTTGTCAAAGCTTTCTGGAAGAATCTTGGGAAGGAAAAGAATACAGCTATCATGATTTACTTCGAAAGCTATCATTTCTTCAGCTGAGTGCTATACTAAGCATCCTTGGATATGTGAAGTTACTACTACAGAAGTCAAATGTGCCAGAAAAGTGGCTTTTTCTTCAAGATGATGACTTCAACTATGTGATTTCAAAGGTGTGCTTCGAACGGTCACATACAGTTACAAAAAGTTCCCGGATTAAAGGGGGAATGAATATGACACTCGTCCTTCTCTGCTGTTTTCTTGCTGAAAATCAAAGTCATTGTTTCATCCAATTAATTAATGTAATTAAAAAAACAAAACAAAGAAAATTGCTGTTTTTGGAAAAGAGATTTTAGCAGCAAAATAGTACTGGAAAGAAAGAGATGTGGCTTCTCTTTACACCTTTTTGAATCAGATACTTTAAAGTCACACCTAGTTTAGCAATTAGCCTCTGATTCTTCTTTCTTTGTTCTCCATCAGACAACTCACAGATAAAAGTCTAAACCCCTAAATTGAGGGCAATACAATTATAAGATGACAGGAATGAAAGAGGGAGTTGAAAGACAGGAAATGGAAAAGGGGAGAAAAACTTAATGGCTGTCCCCACAACCTGTAAAACATTACTATAAAAACACAAAAGGCATAAAAACTCTGATGCACCTCCTCAAGAGAGTTGACCAAACCTTCAAAGGCTCTTGGAGAATGCAGTATCTATAGAAAGGCTAAAGTTTTTAAAAATGCAGCCCACTAAGGTTAAATACAACTGTATCTTCCATGGGCCTGCCCTTAGAACATGGCACCTGATCAAGAGCCAATACAGATGCTAATAAAAGGGTTCAAGGCAACCATCTTGCTCCCCAATAGCTCCCATTCTAAAACATACTCCTGTTACATCTGCTTTAAAAGGGTCAAAAGCCTGTTTTCCAAAGCCATGATATTCTCAAATGGGTTTTTGTCTTCCAAGTTCTCATAGGCTGCTTGCCAGTGAAAATAATATCACTTTTGCTCCTATGTGTGAGCAATTCTTTTTGCCTAGAAGCAAATCACTAGCCAGAAAAGCTGGTTTACACCAAGCCGCTGCCAGACTAGCAAAACATAGCTTCAACAGTCCTAGACTGGAATAATTTGCAAAAGAATGAGGAAGGAAGTAGAAATGGGGCAAAAATCCAGTTCACTGGGTGATGAGGCCTTGAGTTTTCCAGGGTTAGGATGCGGCAATGGCAGTGCCCCCACTCAGCTTCACAATCATCTGTTGACAGTCATTGCAGGAACGCTTGTCCCCCACTTTCTCCAGTGTGCGGGCGGCTTCCGCCAGCAGGACAGCTCTCTGTCCAGGAGAGGACAGAAAGGAGAGTGGGAGATGGCGGCAAGCTAAAAGAATGGCTGTCGCTCGCTCTCTCTGCCCAGGAAGAGCATCCAGTTCACCTGAGTAAAAAGAAAATGCATTTCACTAAAAGCCAAACAATGAACATTCACAGGAAGAGAATACACAATGGGAGTCCAAGAAAGGCAGACTACACTGGCATGAGCAAACCACTGATTTGCAAGCTTTGCTATACAGTGTATTTATTCAGTTCTAAGGGCACCCCCCTCCATATAAACATCCCTAAAAATGGGGTACGACTTAGAATTACAGGATATGTTATATATTCTGTTGATAGTACTGAAATTAGTGTGAGTCTTACAATCGATGGTGTCTCAGAATTGAAGAAATACAGTAACTGAGTACAAAGAATAATTTAAAAAAGTCACTGAACTGTAAGAAGTCATTTATTTAGGAAGCTGAGATGCTACAAGCTGAGACTTGGCCAGCATCCCAGGATTAGTAGCCTTGTCTTGGTCATAATGGCAATATTTCCACAGATTGGCAGGGCCCACACTTTCCATTACAAGCCTTTCTTTCTTGGTAGGTGGACAGACCTGACTGTCAGCTCATTAACATCTTTATGCCATTGATTTTTAAGCACATTGGCTTCAATCCTAGAATCCATGAACCAAAGAACACTCAAGGAAAATGTCTCCTTGTTCTCCTCCTGCCTAATCTTGAGTGGTCCTCCCTCCACTTACCCAGTTCAGGAGGGGGCCCTGATCCTGCAGAGGGCTGCTGCTCGCAATGGCATTACTTCTAGAAAGGGGGGCAAGGAGGAACTGGAGGATCTCTGTTTCTTGGGGAAGCTGCTCTGCTATGCTCCTGAACTATTTAAAATGTTCTTTTTTATACACAAAGGGTACTTTTTCTATACAAATCCCACATTTATTTTGGTTCTTACTTGCATGCAACATTTTTCTCCCTACTTGCTACATAATTTTTTTTCTTGACAAGACCCTGGTGTGAATGTGAAGCTGAGTTTAGACTCTACAGAAACAACAACCAGTTTCCACAGCTGGGCAAGAAAGGAAATGGTGCAAGAGCTTACTCACTTTGTTTGGTGCTCTGGGGAGTTCTGCGCCTGAGACTGTGCTCCAGAAGCTGATGAGTTCGTGTAGGGCTGGCTCCTGCCATTAAACGCACAGTTGCTTCATGTAGGAACACCTAGAAAAGGGGAACAAATAATTACGGGTAGCCTCTACAATTCAGGTCCTTGTGCCGCCAAAGATATGAGCACATACTTTTATTGTGCAATGAGATCCAGAAGGTGTGGCCCTCCAGATGTTCTGAATTATAGCTTCAATAATCCCTTACCAACAGTCATGCTGTCAGAAGTTTCTAATGCTAAATCCAAAACATTTGTTGATGCAAAGATTCCTTAATCCACCTTGATGCATTGATGTAAACCAACTACTGGCCATTCTCTTAGCTATTTTTCCCTTTCTCTGAAATTTAGCACTCTCTTATTTCCCTATGATGCTCAACAGTATAGGGAGGTGTCTTTGAAACACAGGGCATACTACCCAAATATTTCTGACCCAGAGAAAATTTACACTCTTCTCCAGAACCACTGACACTGTTTCTCCACATAAACCGAAATGTGTCATGAGACATTAGACACGAGCCTGTCTTCTCAGTCCTCACCCCTCCCATAAGGTAAAAGTTTCCCCTTGACATTAATCATATACGACTCTGGAGGATGGCGCTCATCTCCATTTCTAAGCCAAAGAGCCAGCATTGTCTGTAGACACCTCCAAGATCATGTGGCTGGCATGATTGCATGGAGCACTGTTACCTTCCCACAGAAGCGGTACCTATTGATTTACTCACATTTGCATGTTTTTGATCTTCTAGGTTGGCAGAAGCTGGGCCTAACAACGGGAGCTCACACCCCATTCCCCAGATTCAAACCGCCAACCTTTCAGTAAGCAAGTTCAGCAGCTCAGTGGTTTTTCCCGCTGCACCACCAAGGGGCCTTACCCCTCTCATACGGCTGGGATAATATATGCACATCCAAAAGAAGCTCTTGTAACAATTGCCAAAACAAACAACATTGTTTTGAACTATCATATACCTGATTATATAAACAGCAAGCTCGAGGAAACAGTGCTGAGCTACATAACTATTGCTAGCCAATAGTAAACCCTGCAACACAATAAGGACCCATCCAGAATAAAACTAGCAGCAAACATCCACTGAAAACATTGTGTTACAGATGTATTAGCTGAATGTATGTCTCTTTTCTCTCCAATGAATTCAAGATGGTAGCGCACAGCTCTTCTTTTCCTCCCTTTAGTCTTACAAAAAGCCAGCAAAATAGCTGTGTCTGAGAGACAGACTGGCTCAGTTACCAGTGAATTCAAAGGCTCATTAGGGACATGAACCTGGATCTCTCAAATCTGTTTTAACCACCATAGCACATTAGCCCTTTGCAAAATAAAATTCCTGGTGTTTTCTTTGATCCACTTGCTCCTCTGTCTTTAAAAAAGGAAACAGAAATTAATAGGATAAAGCAACATTTCATAATTTAGAGCCCTGCAGTACATGCAAAGGGGTCTTACCTTACGATAAGCAGGTCTGAAACTATGAGCCAGCTTGCGTAGGCTGCCAAGGTCACGTTGGAATCCCGTCAGTTCAGAAGCAGAAGCATGGTAGGTCTCTCCTATTGCTTGGCTGGAATTTGTTTGTTTCTGCCACAGAGTAGTACGGAGCGACAGCAACAGGTCACAAGTCAGCAGCTGAATCATCTGCAAAGAGACATCCCCATTCAGTGATAAGACCACAAAGATGCTCTACCATGTTTGACAACAGACGCATATAGGCATCTCAAAATATTCTCAAGGTCACCTGACAGAATTAGGTGGGGGGGGGGGGGGGGGGGGGGGGGGGGGGTTTGCAAGAAAAGAATTCATATGGCCAATAATATCAAGTCTATAGCTTGATGACCACACCAGCTTCGTATCAAAATGTAACTCACCATGGATATGACACTCTGAATGGCAAGGAAGTGTCTGCTTTATAACCCAATCAAATCAAAAACATACCTCCCTGATAATCATACTTTGCATGCTAGAGTACAACCCTTGCAATGGACATGTCTGTAGTTTGCTTGAGCTTTGCTATGGCTTTCTTGAGACTTTGCAACCTACATATACCTCTTGCACTTGCAGATTAAAAAGCTGGGGGCTAACAGAGAAAATGAAATGGTGTCTTGAACCTCATACTTTGAACTCAAAAGTTCTTAGGAGATTACTACCACACTATTCAAGCCTAGGGAGCCAAAATAAGTGTTCGTTTCAGATAATCTAAGATATTTCATCTGTAGTGGAGAGATACGGTATGCCTCTGTACTGCACTGCGGAAACATTGCACGAATACTGCTAGAACATGCAATGCAACTACAATGCACTACAGCTGCCACCCAACAGTAACAAAGGGTCTGAGTTTACCATCTCACAGTTCCAGAATTTAAGAAGCCCTGCTTTACAAACAGAATAGTACAAAGAAAGGCATGAAAAATGGTCCAGCTCTCTAATGTAAGGGTTTTGCCTGGTGGGCAGGAACTGGAAACTAATTGTGGAGTCTTCTGTGACAACAATTCACTCAGAAACCACAGAGAGCAAGAACCAGAGCCAAAGAAGCATCCATTATGCTTCTTCTGTACAAAACAATGAACTGAAAATTGATACAATGCTGAAGTACTGTTGAGTAAAAAAAGACCAGAGCTCTAGTAATTTACAGGGGAAGACAAGGCGACATGGCTATGGGACCAAGCCTTCGGGCAGAAAGGTACAACAGTACAAGATAAATAGGAATAAGTGCACTTGACAATAGGAATGGCTTCGGATTACGATTCTGTATTATGTGATTTTAATGGTATATTAGATGTTTTAATTCTATGTTTTAATTGTTTTAAATCTCTGTTTATGTTCTATGTTTAACATAATTTTAATGGTTTAATTTATTGTTATGTTATCATTTTACTTATTATGCTTTGGCTTTACATGTATGTAAAATCTTGCCATTACTTGATGTACACCGCTTTGATTCCCCCCAGGGGTGGGAAAAACAGTATATAAATGCAATAAATAAATAAATAAATAAATAAATAAATAAATAAAATTTTATTTCTTCCATCATGAATTAAGAAAAGAATAGCTGCTGTTTCATCTAACTCTGAAGGATATTTGTTAGGCCTCAATTCCACTCAACACAAACAATGTATGCATATATGTTTGTGTACAGATAAAGAACAGATGTGATGATTAACTGTACTTACATTGTTCAGACCTGTACTTGAAACTCCGCTGCTCATGTTGAGGCTGTTCCAAAGGTGAGTGCTGGCTCTCTCACAGTGGCCAAAAGAGCTTTGCTGCCCATCTGCCTTGCTCGACAAGGAAGCATTCATGGCTTTGCAGACATGGAAAACAGCTTTCACAAGACCATTCCTAGAGAGATAGAACATAGCCAAGAACAACATCAGTAGTTTCTAAACCAGTCAGACCACAGACAGTTCTCATCTAAAGGGAAATAACTTCCCATTGTTTTTAAAGATCTAGTATCGGTGACCTCTGCACCTTGCCCACCAAAGGTTCCAGAATTAAATCTCACAATAAGGATTCAAATGCTTACAAAAGTCCTTCTGGTGGCAGGCTAAAATCTTTTTATTCAGACAGGCTTTTAAAGGTGAAGGTTTTTAAAATCAAATCAGGGGGTGCTGTGGTTTTTAACTTTAATATGTTTTAATCGATTTAAAATGTGAATTTTGAAAATATTATTTATATTTAATTCTGTTTTAATGTTTGCATATTTGCACATTTTAAATTGTATGTTAATGTTTTTATATTAAGCCGCTTTGAGTCTTCTTCAGGACAGATAAAGCGCGTTATAAATAATAATAAAGTATGGATGAAGAGGCCTGCACAAACCAACAAGGGAGGGCACTCCAACTTCTAAATGCCCAGAGCCAATAATCACATTGCATCTTACAGGACAGCAAATGTATAATTCATAAATGCACACAATCTGCATTACTAAAAATTAGTTTGTGGTGTGACACATGAAACAGTTCCTAGCCTTCTCAGTAGTGAAGAGCAACCTGGCTTTTCTTTAAACCTGTTTACTAACTAAACAATTGCTACACTGATAGATCCTACTGTCATTTCCATCACTATCCCAAAACACTTAACATACTTCAATACAAAGTGGTACAGGTGAGAGACAGAACAGTCCTCTATGAAGGAATTATAATGTGGACAGTCTCTTTACAGACACCAAATCAAATCCTGTTAACATGTGCACTGAAATCAAACAATACAGTGTTGAAAAGCTCTAGCTTAGAATGGAATTTAATTGAAGGGCTAAGACACAATTCAGTTCCACAGAATCTGACCCAACTCCATAATGTTTATGGCAGTGTGAATGTGTGCCAGGCTAAGAAACTTTCTGCTTTTTTTGTTATTCTTTTATGGTTCACGTCCATCAGGAAAGGTTGCAATAGTAATATAAAAAAGCCACACACTCCATCATCTCCAAACATTTAGGAATTCGCTCCACACTGGTAAACTGGGATCTCACAGCAGCGTCATCACCCCTCAACCAGCTGATTGTCATTGTGATTGCTGATGACCACCACCTGCAGACAACATCAGGACCTACATATGTAGAAACAAAAAAATATATATGAAAGGGTCAGGCGATTTGTTTCTTTGAAATGGAAGTATTAACAGACACAACATCTCATGTTTCAATAAAATATTTGGAACATATGCAATAATCCGTTTCCAAACTACTTCCACATATTTTAGGATGAAACTTTCATATTCCACTAGGCATGCTGATTGGGATTTATAGGAGTTGTTCAAATTACCTGGAGACTCCTAATCCCTACTTTACTACAAAACCTTTAGGTAACAAATGATCAGAGCATTCACTCTTGAGATCTCAATGAAGAAGTCAGTACCCATTTGCATGCTGAAAAGAAAGCAAGATTTATAAGAGCCACTAAATATGCCCTGGAGGTCTCCACAACTGCTGCTCCAGCCTAACCATGCAGAAAGGAAGACTAAAATGGTGCACTGAAATGTAACTGGACACTTTGTGTCCTGAAAAACAAAAATACTCTCCCCACCTATCTCTCCAATGTATCTAAGAGACTCACTAGTGGATATCAGAAATTCTTTATTAATTCTATTTTCATTACCATCTATCACCAAAGACAGGAACTTTTACATTACAATAAATACTGCTATTCCAACATCATAATTTATTTGAACAATGTAGTTTAAGAATAGGTTGACATATCTCATTCCTTACTGTTATTTACTAGTTCCCATGTACAAAGAAGTGCCATGGAAAAACTGTACAATATGACCCCTGGAACCATATGTTCTATCACCACCATTCCTTCCATGAATACCTCAAACCAAGATAATAATGAACCCTACATTTTGACTATACATGGGCCAAAAGCATACTGCAGAATCACACTGGAAAACCTAAAGAGACCCAGAAATATTTCTGAAGAGGTCTATTAAGGGGATCAGATAGGAGGAGGATTAGATCTCTACATATCCTCGATCAGACACAGGAACTGCACTTTGGCGCTGTTTGGTTGTCATATACCATCATCACATTGTTTTATATAACTTCATCCATCATTTTATGCTTTAATCTTACTTTAATTATTTAAATCCTTGATGTAAATGTGCATGATGAGGTTTATGTGTTTTTTGGTTGCCATTTAAGTTTTTAATTTTATATTGACACTACTTATTGGTTGTTTTGATTTGTTTTGCTGCTCACTTTGGCACTGAATGTTTGCCAGGTTTTTTTTCTAAAAACTGCCCTGAGCCTCCGCCGCTGCTCCCCCCCTCCCCCCGGGAGATAGAGTGGGTTACAAATAAATTATTATTATTATTATTATTATTATTATTATTATTATGCATATTTTAATCAATGCTAAAGATTAGAAATTGATTTTGAATTTAAGAGAAATTACTAACTTAAGATACAATCACAATGTGTGATAAAATGTTGTACGCCTTGAATTGTTTTAATAATTCAACTGAGTATGCAGAATAGGAGGGCAAAGCTATCATCAATTTTGTAGAGATGTCACCGGCCCCCCGCCCCGCAATCATCTGCGACCTGCCAGCTGCAGCCAATCCATCAGAGTCAAGGGAAATGAAGGATGCAGAGACATCCCATCTGTTCTGCTAAGAGACCAGCAACACTGTCCCACTATCTTTGACCTGTTTCTATGTCATCTATTCACTATATGAAATTTGTAACCAAGAGCTAGTTTCTCTGTTCGTTTTATTCTTTTCTCTTTTACTTTGAGATCATTTTTATATTATAAACCTCAGGGTGACACTGCTTCATTGCTGATCTTTGTCAGTCACGCTGCAAACTTTTTCATTTGAAGCGCAGGGTGAAATGCTTCAAAGAAAAAACAATCAAGTTAAACAAGAGCAATTTAACATAAGGAGCAATGATCTGTGGTAGTGAAGACTTACATCACAAAGGTAATAAAAGATATGTGGGGAAGTCCATAGCAGAAACTTACCTAAGGCTGATCTTAACACACAGCCTCCGGTGAAGGGCGGAGTTCCATTTCCCAAAGAGTCCACAAAGGAGTTAAGTAACTTCAAATATTCCAAAGCATTTGAGAATTCACTGCAAACAGAAGTTGCCATTTTACTAATGCTGAAATTACAAAACCACTGTATTCCAGCTCCAGTGCATAGTATCCTATCCCCTAGTTTGACCCAATTAATATCACATTCATCTGTTTTTATCCTAATACAAACTGGTCTTGTAAGCCACACAATTCCCACACCTTGAAGTCATCTTGGTAAAGGCATTTCTACCATGTTCACAAGTTCATTGTATTTTAGGTCTGCATCCTGCCCATCCCCACCATGCATGAAGACATACATATTTCTGCATTAGCCTTTCTTGTTTTCCCATCATCCTTACCACCCAACCTTCACTCTCATTGGATTACATGTATACCTGGGAAGTTACCAAGGCAATACCCGAGTCCTCAATACACATGTTCCCTCATCTCGCTCTAATGGCAAATGTAATTTCTCTAATAATCTTTGAATGCAGTCACTGCCCCTTTGAATGGTGATCAGGTTATTAGTTTCTTCCCTGCTCCACAAGACATTTATCCCTCATTTCCTCAATCCAAAAATGCATCTCACTGAACACACAACATTTCACTTCGAAATTAGAGGACTGTCATACGTTCAAATGAGACCAGGATCAAGGTAAAGACGAATTATTTTGCAAGTATGGCCACAGCCTATGACAATGCAACACAATTTTACAGTAATTTAGTTTGTGTATGTGTGTATGTATATACATAGAAAGCTTTAGACATAAATTCAGTTGTTGCCACCATTCTTTTCTTTTTTGGGGAATAGCTGGCACTGATTTCAAAATCCTGATGGGTACAGCTTGTTCTATCATGGAAGAATCACAATCCATAATTATGCGAAGTATGTTTCTCTCAAAACAGAAATAGTTCTCCAATGGGCCTTGCCAGGCACAAGCACGCAATGGCCATAAAAATGTCAACAATGCACAGGGACCCTTTATTCCTCAGACTGGGTCTGCATTAATGAGTTATCTGCAATCTTTTGCAAATCATCCATCATACTGTTCAGTGAACGTGACCAGACTGTGTTTTTTTCTTTTCCCAAGAGTAGTGCTCCATACCACAGTGCTCCTAACTAAAAAGCTAGAGACTTCTGGTCATCTCCTGGACAGAAATACTGAGACTAGGCTATAGCTTACCAGGGCTCTTCATCATCATGGCCTACAGTCCCCTTTGGAACCACAAGGGACTCAAGAGCTCTCTCCAGCAGGTTTTCACAGAATGCTTGGTGCACTTGTGCAATGGGATCAGCTGCAGATAAGAAAACAATTAGGGTTTTTTTCTTCAGTCATAAGTCCAACAGCCCTTTAGGGCTGCAGAAGTAAAGACAAATCCCCTGAAATTCCCAAGATACCTATTTAGAAACAAAAAAAGTATATACCGGTTCCTCAGACTTGAATCTCTCCCAAAAACAATTGCTGCCAAATCCCGCCCTCCTCCTTTTTTAAGAAACTGGAATCTAGACACTTATTCTGCAAATTCTGTTATTACTAGCAGCATTCATAAATGAATTTACATGAACATTGGCTGGCAAAAGAAAACATTTATGCATTTTATACTCCCCTAAAATATGGTGAAGGGCTTAATACAGAGCAGTCCTGGCTCTCACCTGGATTCCTCTGAGTACAGTATAAACTCTCCTTAGCAGCAGCTTTCACCGTCCAACTCCGTTCCACAAAAAACTTTTGTCCCAATGGGTGACACAACCAGCGCAAAGAATCGGGAATGGCACTACGCTCAGAACTACATACACTCTGAGCTTGACTTAAGAAATAACTCTGGGAAGAAAACAATTGCAAAGGTAAGAACAGTGCTGAAGGAAAGATGGCACAAAGAAAGCAATCCTGGCTAAAAGTATTTGGTGCAGTAATAGCGATCCTGGCAAGCAGTAATTAGGGACTAACAGAAATTCAATTCCATTTTCATTTCACATTATTTATTATTATTTTTATTTACTATATTTATACTCCACCCTTCTCACCCCAAAGGAGACACAGGACAGCTTACAAGTCAGCAAAAATTCAATGCAGCATAAAACAAACATATAAATAAAATAAGCATATGCATTAAAAACCATAAAATTATAAAACATTTCAATATTAAAACCAATTATTAAACAGCATGCAAAACCAAAAGCATGGTTTAAATACTCCATGGTATTTCCCTGATCTAACTCTGCTGGGAGGATTAAAAAGATTCACTCACTGCCAGGAAGCCCAGTTTACCACCACAGCGAGTCTTCAAGCCAACTGCAGCCGTCAAGTGAATCTCTGCCAAAGTGCTTGGTGGGATCTTCTCTTCTGCACATTCAGCCAGATTCACAGCACACAAAGCCATGTGCAATCCTGAGTATGCTGAACTGGATGGAAGCTTACCTGCATCAGGAGTCAAGAGCATAAAGGATCATCCCCTTTGCAAATGTTATTTGTGCTATGATAACACGTGCAATTAATGTATCATGTTGCTTTATTCAGGAAAGCCTTTTAGTTACTGAAATCAAAGTTCACAGCATTTTCACGTAACAACCTATCATGCAAAGCCTTGATATCTACAATTATTATTATTAATAATAATAATAATCAAACTACAAAAAACACTTTGAAGATTCCAGGATTATAAGATTTTTACTACAGGGGAAATGAGTCCAGAAATCTAGGTCACTACACATACTCACAGAAAATGCCACGTACTGTTTCAACACTTTTTCTCTTACCTGTGATATGGAGCTGATGGAGCTTATGGTATGCTAAAGCTGCATCCCGTGCACTAGTTTTGGCTTCATCCTCAAAACCCACAGGAGCCTCTGTTGTGCGCCTCTGTCGTGATGTCCTCTTCAGCAACCAACGCACGAGTCCTAACTTTTGAAGACTGTATCGGATAACATTCCAGGACAGACTGCAGGCCAGGTCTAAACGAGAGGTGGGAAGTGCCCGACCCAAGGCGGAGAGGCACGTTTCTAAATTGGATGCCGCAGCAGCAAAATCTCCCTGTGGACAAAAAAAGAAACCAAAGCAATGCAGAGATTTTTACGGACTCAATGATTTCAAAGTCCACTTATGTATTTTCCACTGGACCTTTTATCTCTACCTCTTTCAAATATGGATATAGCATATGTAAAATTTCAAATGGCAATTAATATAACAAAATAATATTCATTGGAGAGGATGAAAAAAGTCCTGTGGGTTTTTTGTATACTGTTCTTTTAGAAATGTTATATCTAATCTGCAAATAATTTCACAAGCCTATCAAAATCTACCTACTTGTATCATTCATTTCAGTTCAATTCCAGAAGCATGACAAATAACAGAGTTTATTTTACTAAGTTAAATGGGAGTGGATTTTACACATAGGAGCATAGAAACATCACAGGTTTATTTGTATGATTTTAACAGTGTTCCAGGAACTGTCTTACTTTGGCTAAGTCCAGGTCTGCCTGCTTCCGATGACGCCAGAAGGTTACGGATGATCGGGAGTGCAACCGGGTCACTGGCTCTCCATGTACTAACAGTTTTATGAATACGCTCAAGACAATAATGCCATTCACAAACCAAAGGATCAGAGTGGGCATCATCCAACCAAACCAACCACCAGAACCTAAGAAAAAAGGAGAGTTGACAGTGCCCAATGAAATCAAGTCAGACAAGAAATGGCAAGTGAACTTTAACATATTAGAATAGTCAAGCTGGAATTAACTGTAACACTATAAGTAAAACTGTGTAATCAAATATTGATGAGATGCTTCCTAAGATGATGAACTCTAATAACATTTGCCTCCAGGCCGTAAGCCCAAAAGGAGGTACATAGGTGAATGCAGAATCTCAGGTATATTCACTCAGTCAGTTTCACAAGCTGTTTTACAAACTTAGGAAAGTTTAATCTCGTGCTGCTTATATGTTCTCTGCTATTGCCTGAAAAATGTACAAAGGTAAACTGCTCTAACAAAACCATCCTATAGCATTTGGAAGACAAAAAAGCATGTCTGAACTCTAAAGATTGTTCCCAGAATTTTACAGATAATTAACTTCAAAAACATTTTTTGGAAATATGATTACCTCAAAGATACCTAGTCCACATACGTATCCTACATTACTGTGACTACTAAGCATCATCAAGCACTTTCCAAAGGGGTTTCTTGGCAAGATTTGTCCAAGTGGGGTTGCCACTGAGGCTGAAAGAATGTGATTTGGCCAAAGTCATTAGTAGTTGCTATAGAATTCGATTCTTGGTTTACCAGAGGCCTAGTCCAACACTCAAACCATCACGCTATAGTGAATCTTCAGCTACATTTTGTTTTATATACTCCTTGCTTCTTTTTGTTTTTGTTTTTGTTTCATTTGTTTTTAATTTAATGAAATCTTTGAAAAGATTCTTGCCCCGAAGCTCTCCTCTGGGATTCCTTGCCACCTGCACTGCAATGGGCAACTACAAAAGAGGATGTTTCCAATTATGATACCTTACAGAACTCTTTCTGTCAGAAAGACTTGCCTTATGCTTTCAGACACCAGTCAATTATTTCATTTTTATAGATTTTTAACCTTTAATACTGCCATTAGGTATTTTATTAGCAATTGTCAACTGCTCTGGGTGATATAAAATGTTTTACATAAAGAAAATAAAAGACATTTATACATTACAATAAGGGGGATAATTGTGGCAAAACCACAATGTATGTGTACACAGAAGCACATGCCCAACTGAAGGCAATTCTGATTGAAAAAGTAAACCCCATTAAAATTATTTCACTGTACCACCAAACTAATTTGTTCTTGCGAGAACACTATTTCTATAACCCCCAACTGTTATGTGAATATTGATTTATCTTTACTAAAGCAGATTATCGCAATAAGGTTCAAAATATAACTTTAGGAAGAACACAGATGAGTTCCTCAATATTTGCCTAATAAATTCACTCCATCTACTCTTGAACTGTTCATGTTCAGCTTCTGTACTGGATGTTTTAAGAACTCTAAACACTTCAAACAAGCACTGTTGGATATGTGATAAAGTTTGAGTATCTGACCTGAATCTATCGATAGTGTACTCCTCGCAGAACCGTGACGTATAGGACCATCAGAATCAGACGTCCTCTGGGCCTCCAGCAAGGAAGTTAGAGGATTGAAGGAAAGGCAGAGGAATGTGAGAGCACAAAGCAGCATTCGTGAACGATCAACCATTCCCAGAGCAACAGCTGGAGAGTCAGGTTCATCTTTAACCTAGGCCATGGTAAATGAGGAAGGGGAGCGAAATATATTTTAAAGGGAAAAATAGGTACAGAGTGCAGAAACATAGGAGATACTTATGTGTCTAAGTTTTGACTATTTTTAAAACAGTGAATGTATCAGATGTCTGTTTTCTATCCCCAAACAATAAAACAGAGATAAAGTCCCACAAAGGGATACTGTTCACTTGCTAATCCAAGAAATCCAGTGTTTGTATTTGTACAACCAGCAGAATGTAGTATATTCAGTTATTACAATTTAGCAATATCAAACCTATTACAAAAAGAGTCAAAAGACCAATCTCAATATCTTGCCTAAATCATGTTTCTAAGGGATGATGGCTAAAACAAGTGATCTGTTGTTGTTGTTCCAGATGAACATGTTAAACTTATAAATGATGGAAATAATGACGCCATCTTCATACTTCTTAAAAGGGACACAGACGTGTTACTTAAATCTTTCCATAAATGATCTGTGGATCCAAATCTTTTATTATTGGCACAGAGCTTTGCACAATCTGAGCCTAGCATGACAGATAGTGATAACATCACATAACTTCTTAATTTTAGTTTTCCAAACGATTCATTCCCCTACAATAATAATTTACTATAGACAATTGATGCTGAGCAAATGGAGCAGTCCTCCATCTCAACTGGTATGCACATTACCAACAGGACCTCTGGCCACAAGTGATATGCAATCCTTACATGCACTTTCTATTCCAATGTGATATGAAAATGTTAACTACCTTTGCATCATCCAGCAACGGGCTTCCAGGCTCTGAGTCAATTGAGTAAGGAGAAAAGCCAGCTGGTGAACCAGAATCAGAGGCTGGAGGAGACATCAACAGAGCATTTTGATTGAAGTCATCCATCTTCAGATCCACATCACTGTCCACCAGACTGCTTAGGTCAAAACCCTTCAAAAGCTCTGTAAAGAACAGATATTGAAGATATCAGCTATTGAAGCTCACAGTGCTGCTTGTCATTCAGTCCTTTTCTATAAAAATGTGCTCCCTCCTTTGATTTTTCAAACAAAGCTGGGTAAGCATAATCTACCTCCACACCCCCAAAAAATGTAAAAGGGGAGATGGGACTAATCATAATTACCCTCGCCCACTTGAAAGACTTAACTGTTTTTCTGGTTAGCCAGTTTCAGGACCATGTTTTCTTGTCGCAGCTTATGGTTAACCTGCTGTAGATACTTAATGTAATCAATGGCCTTCCTCAGTACACCAGACTTGTGCATCTGTAAAAAAATAGCATACATTAAGGAGAATGTATTACATGTTTAATAAACATGATCCATTTGGGGGTGCTTTGAATGCTTCTTGGCAGGGGGTTGGACTGGATGGCCCATGAGGTCTCTTCCAACTCTATGATTCTATGAAATAATGCTACAAATGTTCTCTCAGAGCATACTAACAAAACAGATTAAAAAGAATTTCCACAGAGGCTTCAAAAGGAAAATCGAGAGATAAATTCAAATGCATCTATCTAATTTTTCTAACAGAAAGCAAGTAAGCAAATGGGTTAGGGGCCACTGCAATCTTCCTGTTTTTTTTTTCAATCAATAAGAAATAAGAAATTCTTACTTTGGCATCTGTTCCCATTACTAGATCCTTCAGTTCTATGATCTTGTCATTTATAGATGATCGATATCGCTTTTCAATTATATTATGGGTGGTTCGCCTCTCCCCTTCCTTGGGTGGTTCTGGCTGCTTGGTACCACCAGGCACATGTTTGATTGGCATCTTCTCTTGGCCTCCCATCATCATAGGCATTGTAGTCAAGATGGTCCCATTGCCACCAACTAAAGTCTAAGAAGGCAGTAACAAATTCTATGTGATGCAATTAAAGTAGCAAGTAACCTCAAAATAATGAAGACTATAAAGAATATTAAAAATCAGTAGTAAAGTTTCAGTGCCTGCTGCATAAATTACAATATTTTCTGCATACAGCTGTGTAAGAAGAATAAGAAATTTGCCAGGGTGTGCTTCCTATCCTTAGTGATAACTCTCATCAGTACTTTTCAAACTCCCTATGAAAAACAATGCTAGAGTCCCATGATACCTGCAGAGCCGTTGTCTGAAGAGGCGTGGTCAGAGCTGTGAGGGCTGGATTCTGAACAGCAGTCATTACAGGACTGCCATCAGCTTTCAGTGTTGTTAAGACAAGAGAATCTGTCTTGATTATCTGTGGCTGCACAAGGACCTAGAATAAGAAAATATGGCAGAAGCTTAATACAGCAAAGCAAGAAAACAATTCTACACTGCTGCGAATGCAATGCTCTTTCTGGTAACCGATAACTGTCTGATTTTACTATAGGGATTCCTCTAAGAAGAAAACACCTACAATCACTTTTTCAACGCATCACTATCCCAACTTCTCTCTACATATATCAGAGGTCAATATAAACTCACAAATGAATCAACATGTTTCTTTATTAAAGTTCTTGACATAAACATAATTATGCCATTAATAATGTAGTCTAACTTCCAATGTGGCATCCAAAGCGATATTCATTCCCGCTTCTGAACAAAAAGGATGTTTTAACCCTGTTGGCTAGGGAGGCAGAGCTAAAAAGTGTGGTACCTCATATGCCAAAAACATTCAGAAATGAAACGACAAAGACTTTTAAAATCTCTAATGCACTTTTCCTCTATGTAACATCACAACTGATATATTTCTAATGTACCAAACCCCATTATGTGGCAGGATTAATTCTAGAATTATTTTAGTTGTAAACGCTGTCCATTTCTGTCAAAAAGTTCCCCTACTCTTTCTTCTGATATAATTCTTTGCTGTTCATTTTCCTATGGCAGCAATAACTCCCATTTCAGCTCATCAATTACCCACTCCAGGGTGCAGAGTAACTTCAGTATCCAAAAGGCCAAACCATTTCCACCAGTGATGTTATTTCCTGTCTTGGAATGGAAGGAAGAGTTCCTATATACACACAGATGTCAGTGAAGTGAGGCTAAAGGAAACCTTTCCCCTATAAAATTACAACCTAAAACTACTCACTGGAACTTGCTGGACTTGAGGAGCAGCTACTGCCTGGACCGTGGCTGGTGTCAGTGTCTGGATGGTGCCATTAGCTGCCTGTGTCAATACCCTTTGAGCTTGCACAGTCTGAACTTGCTGCTGAATGGTGACTGGCTGAACTTGAGAGGAAGTCACCAGGCTTTGAACCTGTGGCTGAAGCACTAAAAGCATAACAAGAACAATCTGATTAACTGCATGATGAGGAGCACATTCAAAGGAGGCTACAACTTTCTGATACCCTAAATCAATATTACATGAGGAACTTTCAGATACGATGTACCAGCATTTGAGCAATTCAATCTGAAAATACCCATACATCAGCAAATCAAAACCATCAAGAACTCCAATTTAGTCCGACTTTTCTTATTTGATCCACCTCATCTTTTTTAAGTACTGTACTAGAAATAATGTGTTAATTGTGGTTTACAGCACTATTCTATATCTAACTGCTAGGAAACATCTTTTTGGCTCCATTTAAATTCTAATATAAGTTCATAGTTGGCTTCTGTTGTAAGATGAAATGATAATGAAAATGATGGCCCACAAAGCACTCACACTAATCCTTCCATAAATATATATTGTTGAAAGTGCTGATACTAATAAAAAGGCATTACTTTCAGCACTTCAACATTCACTGTATGTTCAGCACTCTTCATTATGAAGTTGTATAGCCTTCGATATACAAGATAGATTTTATAAAGTGCTATTAGATATATTGCTTCAGTTTTTCAAATTCCCTACCTATTCATGCAGAGCGCTCTATCACTATTCATGCAGAGCGTCCACAGTAAAGGTTTCCTGATATATTTTTATCACATAAGACAGTCCCAGCAAAACGTACATAAGTTTAGAAACATTTCAAACGTCATTAAAGACCTACAAAATATGTAACAGGAACTAAATATCGCTGCCTGCCTATTCATAACTATCTTTGCAGACTTTCAACAGCTGAGCTAGCTACAATGTACATTAAGTCTTTGAGATTTACCTTGAAAACTTGTGGCTGCATTCTGGTATATTACAGGCTGCTGAATGATGCGTGTCTGGGGAGAAGAGCTAAAAGTTGGAGTAATCATCACTGTTTGTTGTTGGAGTTGAGGCTGAACCTGTGGGCGAGGTTGGAGAGGAGGCGCAGTCCGTTGCGGAGCCGGTGTTGTGGCCACTGCCTGGGACAATTTCACTTGAATAGGCTGAAGCTGTGGGGATGCTGCATTAGGTGGGAAAGATTGGAGTGGCCCCTGACTATAGGGCCTCTGTGATGAGGAATCGGGTGTTCCACCACCGTTACAGGTATTGTTGCTCTGGAAGGTGCCACATAACTGTTCGGAAAACAGTTCTGGAAAATCTCCAACCTGGTTGCTGACAAACTGTAGCATCTCTGCAAATATATTAAATAGAAAAAATTAAAACAGCATGAATATTAATCAGTACTAATTATTCCAGAATCAGTCTAGATTCCTGACTGATAAAAGGCCATCTTCAGTAGTCCTAAGAGTGGTATGTGCAGATGTATACATGTGTGTATCACACCTGTTTCTTTTGAATGAGAATTCATTCACACCTCAAGTCTGACAGGACTGTTACAGCTACCTTTATTGTTTAGTTGCCCAAGTACAGCATATTATGCCATTCATTACCTTTTAACTCAGTATCAACCATTGCAATGTTTGGAGAGGGCATTCTTTTGATCCTTCCACCATCAAAGGTATACTTAGTGATGACACAGGGGAGAACTTTTTCTGTGTCTGCTCCCAGAGTATGGAATTCCCATTTACAGGGAACTTGATGAGTTCCCTATCAGTTTTCTTTCTTCTTTCCTTTTTTTACCAGGAGGCAAAGACCTATTTGTTGAAACAGGCCCTCCACTTTTCTTTGGTTGTGGCAAAAGGGTTTTTAATGGGATGTGTGGAACTGATTTTTTTTTTTAGCTGTTGGAACTATATGTTTTATTTGAAATTTTGTTTTAATCTACACTGTAAGCAACCTTAGGTCACGTTTTAAGGAGTAAGACATCACATAAATAAAATAACTACATGTAGTGTATGCCAGCTGCCCAGGGGACAGATCTTGCCAGAAACCTCTATACCAGTTAGAGTACCACAATGAGTTATATGTGGAGCTGAAAACTGGAAATGTTGACTGAATTAGGGCATGGCTCTCTATTTATTAGTCAAGTCATATGGATTTAATCGGTCGGTACAGTTTTAAAACTTTTATTCTGGCTACCTGTTTTTCAAGCAGAATTGAAAATGTTTACCCTAAATGTTGCAGCAAACAGGTTGAGGCATACGTATTTGAAGCACTCACACAAATCTGCCTGTCTACGATAATTTACATAGCACCTGTTTCAGGTTTCCATCCTTCGGGAGGGAGGTAGCTTGCCATTTGAGACTAAAGTCTTTTCTGTCTTTCAAAAATTCCAGCTATAATACCTGTATGTCCTTCCAAGTGTTGGCTGTCTGCTGATTTAGATATCAAACAAAGGATTTTGTTTCTTCTTCAATCATATCTGCCAATATTTTGTTTGTTCTTCAAGTATTTCTTTTTTGTTGTTATTATCTTAATCATTCCATTGCTGCCCATTTTTTTCTAACCTGTTACCATATTAAATTATTTAAATGTAAGTATGTAACTGAGTTAGAGGACCTATCAGTAGTTCTCAAGCTGTGGGTCCCCAGGTGTTTTGGCCTACAACTCCCAGAAATCCCAGCCACTTTACCAGCTATTAGGATTTCTGGGAGTTGAAGGCCAAAACATCTCGGGTTGAGAACCACTTATTAATATACTACAGGATCAATATAGATAAAATAGTTGGTTGAGGCACCAAAGGCTATACAACTGAAAATTTGACTCGTGTATAGCTTAAAAGCTGACAATATTAAGGCTCCAATTGTACACGGATATAAAAAAGACATACCGAAAAATGCATTAAATCCCAACCTACACAAGATATCAATGGGTGTATCTCTCAACGTTTTATTTCTTAACAAAGTACAGTGATTGGAAAATATCCACCTGATCAGATTTAATTATAACATTTATACTCCAATCTTCAACTGTAAAACCTCCCAATATAAAACAGGGTTGGGAAACTACCGTACATTATCTGCACTTGCTGCCCCTCCTATCTCCCCATGGGTTGCACTTTTCTCTGACAGTGCTCCCAAATACTTTATCAACGTTCTTCCCAAAATGAAAACCTGAAGTGACAAAACTTCGTCCTTTTTCATATTTTGAAGAAAAACAAATGCTTGGATCAAGTGGGGCTTTAGTTTAGATCCAGACCTTATATCACCATTTTTCTATTTGCCCCCAAACATGACATTTTGGTCAAAACAACAAATGAATGATTTTTACTTAGAAAAGCAATTTGGATAACAAACGTATTTTGAATCAGGATCCCTTCCCACTAACACATGTTTTTTCTTCAAAATATAAAACTGGACATATTAAGCACACATGTGAAAATACACTACTGACACCAAATGTAATTTGGATACAACAGCCTTGGAAAGTCAAACTATAATCATAACTCTTCAATCCAAAATGCAATCAATCACTGGCAACTGATCAATAATTCCAGATAACCTGGTTGAAAAAACGCTCTGCTAGAAATTGCCACACCCAGAAGAGAGCACTCATTATAGACTAACCAGCTGTCCGAAGGCATCTTCATACATCGTCACATGTCTTTTTTCCTTCCTTTTTAGGAAGTATATGCTCCCCTACCTTCCAGCCATTCTACTTACTACTATTGCTGGAATGAAACATGCCAGATATTCATAGTCCACTAAGAGAAGTAACTTGTTTGTTTTTTTAAAAAAAAAATGAGATGAGGTTAGGAAGCCTACGTGTTTACCACTATACTCATTCTAAGCTATACAACATGAGATCCTAAAACTTTCACACCCACATCCACAGCCAAAAGAATGTCAATGGCACAATCATGGAATAATATAGTTATACTTTTGCAACTGGAAAATGGAATTATAAATAACTATTTATTTTAGCTATTCATAGCCAGTTATTTTCAAGCTGTGGGTAAATGAGCAGAAGCTTTGTTAACCGATGTATGTCTGTATTCAGAAACAAAATCATTACTAGGGCATCATGTTCTACAAACAAACTACACAGTGAAAAGTCCACTGAGGGCAAATTATGTTCTGGATAAAATAGAGCACAATGTTGAGGCTCAAGAGAGTTACCTGCAAATAGTGGGTAACAGTCGATCACTAGGTTGTTCTCAAGTATTCCTTGAAGAATACTACATAAAAAGGATTACAGGGAAGAGCATGATAGCAAGACTAAAGAACAAACCCACATTGTGCAGGAAATATAGCTACTACATATACACTGCGTGTGTATGCACTTTCAGGTCACCTTTTGATTTATGGTGACCCCATGAATTACAGTTTTCTTGGAAAGGAATATATTGCTGTTACACCAAATTGTGGAAGAAAAACAGGCATATACACAAAAAAGGAAGTACGGGGTCCTGAACACAGGTCTTTAAATACATACATACATAAATGTACATCTATAGTACAAAGGGTTGGATACACTCAGTATTTAAACTCAATCCACTAAGATCCATGAGACTTCAGATAACATAGCTAACTTGGCTCCTCTTGATGCCAATGGGGCTAAAGTAGGTATGAATCGGAGTGCAATCTACAGTGTATATCATTTGTGTTTCTTGTGTAAATTACATTCAATAACACAATACTTGAACAAGATACTGTACATATTATACTGGTACTCTAACAGTATCAGAAAGTAATGACAGATTTGCCTCTTAATTTACTGATCAAAATTTTACTATTACAAACTCAACTGAAAAAATATTTAAATAATAGTAATATAGCATAATAATCATCACATCAAAATAATGCAACACCCTTGCCATGTTGGGAACTTCCAAACAAGAAGTCTTTTAGAGCTACTACTCAAAAGGCATTGTACAGCTAACCCATCTTTTCTTCTTTGATAGAGCTTTGTGGAAAGAAAAAGTATAGTACAGTGTTCCCTCACTTATCGCGAGGGTTCCATTCCAGGACCGCCTGCAATAAGCGAAAATCCACAAAGTAGGGATGCCATATTAATATGTATACATTATTTTATATATTATTTTCTTACCCGCCCTTCCTTAACCACCTCCCGGCCCATCCCAAGGGCACCTGCCTCCTTGGCTTCCACAGAGCCTTCGGAGCCACACAGGCAGCAGCAGGCCAGGGAGCCAGGCCTTCCTCGCTACACCTCAGGCCACCTCACTTCCAGGCTCTGGCCTCCCTGGCCTCCACTAGACGTAAATATTTAATTTTTTTATTAATATTTTCAAAAACCCGCAAAACAGTGAGTCCGCTAAAAACGAACAGCAAAGTAGCATGGGAACACTGTAGTTGGAAAACATGAGATGACAATTGAAAATTATGACTTTGAGAACCCCAACCCAGGTAAGGTTCCATGAATGAAGTGTGGTGACAGCATGGCAAAAGCACCTGAAATTTTCAAAATATGTCTTCAAAGAAAATCTAACTTTTATTTTACCTTCCCACACACCTCAAATAGTTATTTCCAGCACTTCTAGAGTCACATCTCAAGAAAACCCTTTTTCCCTTTTTGGCAAATAATGTATTTTCCACCTCAGTTATTTATCCAGTTGGAAAGTGTATAAATACTAAGACTGCAAGTAATGTACAAAAGTGAGCCCAAGTGGACGTAACAAGGAAATAAGTGTTTCAGCAAAAGAAACTTTAAAATGTTGGATATTACTATTTTAGTCAACCTAAATTGGACAAGATATAGGGACTACGTTAGCATTTCAGTTTTAAAATGAGGAGCAGAAATCTACTTTCTCTTCACAGCACAACATGTATATTGTTGGTGTTTGTTAAGCCAGAATGTTACTAGTAAAACAATTAAGGTAAAAAAGTGAACTTGAAAGCAGTGCAGATATAAACACCTTAACTCAAATTTGGATAACCATTTTAATAAGGAGGAGGAAGGGGGGTGGAAAGAAAAGAAATTGGCACCACCCTTAAAACTAGGTGTCTTTATTTTAATACAAGCTTTCCCTTGGATATAAACCAATTTCTTCAGGTGAAGTATCTAGTAGTATTAGGGCCTCAGTGTAAAACATATATACCAGTGCCAGATGTTTTGGCCTTCAACTCCCAGAAATCCTAACATCTGGTAAACTGGCTGGGATTTCTGGAAGTTGTAGGCCAAAACACCTGGGGACCCACAAGCTAAGAACCACTGATATATACTGTGGTTGTGGGAGGGTTAACACAGAGACGCATACCCCTGGCTGCTTCTTTTTAAGTATTTTTAAAGCTGCATCTTCCTGGTATAACTGTGTATGTGTGGTATGGTGTATCCTTTCAGTGTAACATGGTTTTGGGAGAATATGGATAGAATTGCTAGTTGTACGCACTGCTCTCTACAGTTTGTGAAAAGCTAGTGTTCAGCAAGCACTTTTAAAGAGAGCAGATGTTGCAACTACAAAATTGTAGACTTTTGTTCCTTATGAAGTATTATACTATTACCATTATTTACAATTACTTAAGAATGTGATTCTTCTCCATTACTTTTATCAATTGCTTTGCATGACATATCACTAAGGAATACTGTAAATGTAGAATCTCAAAAAATATCGTGAGTTTGTTGAAAAGTACCATTCTGAGATTACTCCAATTTTTTTTCTTGGCAAGTTTATGGAGGTGATAGTCACCCCTGTAGTTCAATGACTATTGAAAGTGACCCATTTAAGGTGGAATCGGGTGTCAAACAGGGATGTGTTATTGCCCCAACTCTATTCTCCATCTACCGGCCATGTTGTCCGGATGCCCGACCACCGTCTCCCAAAGCAGTTGCTCTACTCCGAACTCAAGAACGGAAAATGGAATGTTGGAGGACAGGAAAAGAGATTTAAAGATGGGCTCAAAGCCAACCTTAAAAACTCTGGCATAGACACTGAGAACTGGGAAGCCCTGGCCCTTGAGCGCTCCAGCTGGAGGTCAGCTGTGACCAGCAGTGCTGCAGAATTTGAGGAGGCACGAGTGAAGGGTGAAAAGGAGAAACGTGCCAAGAGGAAGGCGCGTCAAGCCAACCCCAGCCGAGACTGCCTTCCACCTGGAAACCAATGCCCTCACTGCGGAAGAAGATGCAGAGCAAGAATAGGGCTCCACAGCCACATACGGACCCACAAGAATATTGGAAGACAATCATCCTCGGAAAGCAAGGGATCGCCTAAGTAAGTATTTACAATTACTTAAGAATGTGATTCTTCTCCATTACTTTTATCAATTGCTTTGCATGACATATCACTAAGGAATACTGTAAATGTAGAATCTCAAAAAATATCGTGAGTTTGTTGAAAAGTACCATTCTGAGATTACTCCAATTTTTTTTCTTGGCAAGTTTATGGAGGTGATAGTCACCCCTGTAGTTCAATGACTATAATAGGTTTTAAAGTACTGTACTTCCCTGTTCTCAAATTCAGGTATAATTCTGGCTTACTAAATTTGGCTGCAATATTACTAAAACTTTCTAACATTACTAACAATAAGGTTTTCTGATACTCAATGTCACCAACTGAATTAGACCTCCAAAATGCAAACAGCGACCACCAACTATATCCAAGTAAATCAAGAGAAATAAGCAAAACTCTTATGTCACACCTTAAACCATTACAGCCAAAAGAATGCCTCATCAGTATGCCCCCAAGATGCCAGTCACACCACAATATTTTCCCAGAAATCTCACTATGACTCACTGCTGTGTAACACCAGTTAATACTAGGCTACCGTTTACATATGTGTGTCCACCCAACAGACTCAATAATTCCATTTGTCATATATTTGATATGTATCCTTAGTATCCACAAGTGTAGCAATAGCACCAGCAAAATGACACAACTAAGTCCAAAATTTCCTCATCTTCTGGATATGTTTTTGCTGTTAATTGCCCCCAAGTCAACTTGGAAAGGCTGTCATAAGGAAGAGGGAGCAGGTTTGTTTTCTGCTGCCCTAGAAACCAGGGTTCAAATGACAAGTAAGGAGATTCCACCTAAACATTAGGAAGAACTTCCTGATTATAAGAGCTGTTCTGTAGTGGTACTTGCTGCCTCAGAGTCTGATAGAGGCTCGATGATCATCTGTTGGGGGTGCTTCGATTGTGCTTTTCCTTCATGGCAGAGGGTTGGACTGGTTGGCCCTTGTGGTCTCTTTCAACTCTATAATTCTATGGCTTATGGTGACCACATGAATGAGAGACTCCCATGTTGCCCTATCCTCCACCACCTTATTCAAATCAGGGCCGCCCAGGCTTCACTGAATGAGGCTATCTCTCAGGAATGCAGTCTTCCTTCTTTCCCTAATATCCTCCACTTTCCATGCATAGTATTTTCCAGTGAGTCATGTCTTCTCCTGACAAGGCCAAAATACGACAGTCTCAGTTGAGTCATCTTGGTTTCTAGGGAAAGTTCCAGCTTAATTTAGGACCCATTTATTCTTCTCTTTAGTAGACCTAGTTCTCTTCACTGCCCGGCTGGATTTCCCAGTGGCGCAATGGGTTAAATCCTTGTGCTGCCAGGACTGCTGAAAGGTCTACGGTTCAAATCCAGGGAGTGGGGTGAGCTCCCGTTTGTCAGATCCAGCTTCCCATGTGGGGACACAAGAGAAGCCTCCCACAGGGTGCTAAAACATCCAGGTGTCCCCTGGGCAACGTCCTTGCAGACGGCCAATTAATTCTCTCTCACCACAAGCAAGTTGCAGTTTCTCAAGTAGCTCCTGACACAAAAAAAACCCTGCCTGGCTTTCACAAGCAAAATCTTCTGCACAGTGGCACAGACATAAAACAAACAACAAGGCAGTGCATTAACCATTCCCTATGCAATCCAAAGCTAATAAATATATATGTTGGGCTGGAGTTACACTTACCAATTTACATACAAGTTCAACTTAAGAACAAACCTACAGATCCTATTTTGTTTGTAACTTGGTGACTGCTGGTATATTCTTCTGTGAGCTGCCCCAACTCCCTTCAGAGAGATGGTGGTAGCACACAAAGCTTTATTATTATTATTATTATTATTATATCATGGCAAAGTATTGGATGCCTTTTACAAGATTTTACTTTTCACAAGTGATGTAAATGTATTTTCTGTATATATGGTATACAATACTATGGCATGGTAAATTAAAAACAAAAAGGAGTTATTAAATGCAGAAACCACTTTGTGACTTTTGTCTCACCCTACTGTAATCGTATTGTAATCGTAATTCTGGAGTCTATCAATATGGAAAACTGGGTGGGATGGGGCTTCAAGCAAAAACAATCCACTCCTTCAGACAAAACTTTTTTTAAAAGTACAGAATGTCCACGCTGTAGAATTAATGCAGTTTGGCACCACTTTAACTGCCAGGGCTCAGTAGTATAGAACAGGCATGGGCAAACTTGGGCCCTCCAGGTGTTTTGGACTTCAACTCCCACAATTCCTAACAGCTAGTCTAACAACTACTATTTCTTTCAGACTACACAGAGAAACCATTGAAACCCACAAGCATGCGGACAATTTCAACAGAAAGGAGGAAACCATGAAAATGAACAAAATCTGGCTACCATTTTTTTAAAAACTCTAAAATTAGGACAGTTAGTAAAGAGCAACACTCAAAAAGCAGGGGAATTCCAGACAAGAATCAATCAGGGTCAGCTAACACCTCCAAAGGATTTCACCATGAAGCAATCTGCCAGGCTTTGAAGCTGCAAGGCCATTAAATGCTAATCAAGGTGGCCAATTGCAACATTCACACTTGCCTCAAGCAGACAAGAGTTCTTTCTTCCACCCTGGACATTCCACAGATACATAAACCTCACTTGTCTAGTTTCCAAGAAGTCTCACAACCTCTGCCACAGATACGAGTGAAACATCAGGAGAGAATGCTTCTGGGACATGGCAATCCAGTGGGTAGGCTGTTAGGAATGGTGGGAGTTTAAGTCCAAAACACCTGGAGGGCCCAAGTTTGCCCATGCCTGTTCTATAGACTCAGGGCAGTTGTAGTTCTTTAACCTTCTCTGCCAAAGAATCCTGGAGCCTCACCAAACTCCATAGCATTGAGGCCTGGCAATCAAAGTGGTGTCAAACTGCATTAATTCCGCCGTGTGGATGCCTTTCCGGCCTGCTCCTGAGGGGGGCGCGGGAGAGGCACTCACCGTCGATGTCTCCCAGCGTGAGCTCGTCGCCCAACTCCGTCAGGGTCTCCATGGTCTCCATGCTGCTGAGCTCGCCGCTCTCCATGGCCAGCGCGGCCTCGGAGGCGCCGGCGACACCCGGGGCCCGAACCCTTCCTCCTCCTCGTCCTCCTCTTCCTTCCAACCGGGCGCGGCTTCAGCGGAGGCTGCCTGCGCTCCCGGCCTCACAGGCCGCCGCCATCTTGGGCCTCCCTCCTTCGCCGAGGCCCCGCCCCTCCACCTGCCAGGAGCGCGCGCCGGGCTGGTTGTCAATGAGACCAGGTCCGCCTCGGCCAATCAGCGCGCGGAGCGGCTCGTGGTGTGATGGCGCGTCAGCGATCAGCAGCTTGGCTTTGGACATGAGGGGCATCCCCCGCCCGCCCCTCGCCTGTTGGGCCTTCCCGGATTTGAATATGCATGAAGGGGGCGGGGAGCTCATGAATTATTCAGAAGTGGCCTGGCCATTTAAGAGCTGTATTATATACTGGTCCTCGAGAAAAGCCACACAACTCCACAGTTGGGCACCAAAAAACTTGAGCCCTCCCTCCAGCTGTTTTGGACTTCAACTCCCACAATTCCTAACAGCCTCAGACCCTTTCCTTTTCCTTAAGCGGCTGAAAGGAAAAAGGAAGGGGTCTGAGGCTGTTAGGAAGGGTGGGAGTTGAAGTCCAAAACACCAGGAGGGAGGGCCCAAGTTGGCCCAGGCCTGTTATTTAGTACTAGCCTTCCCCTGCCATGCGTTGCTGTGGCCCAGTCTGTGTATATGTGTTTTGTGTGTGTGTGCATATGCATATATGTGTATATGTGTAGATATGTGTGTGTTTGTGTTTATATGATCATATATATGACCATATATATGCAATGAACATCATGTTTTTATTTATATAGACTAGCTGTCCCCTGCAACACATTGCTGTGGCCCAGTCTGTGTATATGTGTTTTGTGTGTGTATGTATGCATATATATTCGTGTATATGTGTGTTTGTGTATATATGAATATATATGAAATGAACATTACGTTTTTATTTATATAGACTAGCCATCCCCTGCAACGCATTGCTGTGGCCCAGTTGTGTATATGTGTGTTTGCATATAAATGTGGTTTTGCACATGAGTTGTAATGTAATTTTTGTTTTTGGGCTTTTTAAGTCTCTTCTGCTGTGTTTTTCAGTGTTTTTATGAGTGATGGTCACTCGTTCGCCTAATAGATGTATTGTGTCCAAATTTGGTGTTGATTTGTCCAGTGGTTTTTGAGTTATATTAATCCTACAAATGAACATTACATTTTTATTTATATAGACTAGCCATCCCCTGCAACACATTGCTGTGGCCCAGTTAGTGTATATGTGTGTTTGCATATAAATGTAGTTTTGCACATGAGTTGTAATGTAATTTTAGGTTTTTTTGGCTTTTTAAGTCTCTTCTGCTATGTTTTTCAGTGTTTTTATGAGTGATGGTCACTCATTCACCTGATAGGTGTATTGTGTCCAAATTAGGTGTCAATTTGTCCAGTGGTTTTTGAGTTATGTTAATCCCACAAACGAACATTACATTTTTATTTATATAGATAGATTGAGCCATCAGTCTCTGAGAGTGCATCTTACACTGTTGAATTAATGCAGTTTGAAACTGCTTTTAACTGTCATGGTTCAATAGTATACAATCCTCAGAGTAGTAGCTTGGAGAGCAATGACCAGTTGAAATAAAATAGTGAAGAATAAAGACATCACACTGGCAACGAAGATCTGCATAGTTAAAGCAATGGATTTCCCCGTAGTAACCTATGGATGTGAGAACTGGACCATAAGGAAGGCTGAGCAAAGGAAGATAGACGCTTTTGAACTGTGGTGGTGGAGGAAAATCCTGAGAGTGCCTTGGACCGAGAGATCAACCCAGTCCATACTCCAGGAAATAAAGCCCAACTGCTCATTGAGGGGGAGGATTAGAGGTAAAGATGAAGTACTTTGGCCACATAATGAGAAGACAAGAAAGCTTGGAGAAGACAATGATGCTGGGGGAAATGGAAGGAAAAAGAAAGAGGGGCCGACCGAGGGCAAGATGGATGGATGGTATCCTTGAAGTGACTGGCTTGACCTTGAAGGAGCTGGGGGTGGTGACCGCCGACAGGGAGCTCTGGCATGGGCTGGTCCATGAGGTCATGAAGAGTCGGAAGTGAACAAATAAACAACAACACAATTGATCTGCTGTTGAAGTCCCAGGAGGGAGTAGTGTGCTATGTTATCAGATTGTATCTGGAGGAATGGAGAATCAATCAACTGGCCTTTCTCTTTAGTCTCTTGCCTTTGGCTCTTTTGCTGGCTTGGAGCAAATGCAGGCTCCAGATTTGATTTTCAGTTTTATGATTTGTCCCATTAGAAAATAAATACCCATATAATGGAACCTTTTCAAAAATTGTACAGCTGTTGGAGTAAAACTAGTATCATCTTAAGATTTGGTTAAGATATAAATCTCACCAGTCCCACATCTAGTCAGCTGGAAGTCCCATCAGGCAAATTTCAGGTCCAGATGTGTCTGGGTTGTAACTTGTAGCAAGTCAGCTGAGCCATCTAATCAATTAGAAGAGCCATGCATTTGGTCATGGATGAGAATGATCCAGCTCCCCAGATGTGGTTGGATACAACTTCTATTGTGGCCTTTGAGTACTCCTCCAAAACTTGGCAGTATTTTAAGTTGCTCTTGATGGGTATATGTACCAAGTTAAGTCCAGATCCATCATGGGTGGAATACACACAGCTCTGTGGATGTGCGTGGACTACAACTCCCATTGTCCTCTGACAATTCCTGCACGCCCTGCTAGTATTTTTAAGTTGGTCATGATGGGTATGTGTGTTTAGTTTGATCCAGGTTCACCATTGGTGGGATTTACATGGCTTTCCAAGTGTGGGTGGACTACAGTTCCAATCAGACCACCACAACCACCACCTTCTCTCAATTATTTTAACTTGAATCATGAGGTATGTGTGTCAAGTTTGGTTCAGACTCATCAAACCATATAAGAGCCTTAGTGGTTCAAACATATATAAAAATAAGCATACTTATATATATAGTAAGGATTTGCAGCATCACATATATTTAGTTTGTTTTGGTACAATCTGTGATGCCATCATACTTCAGCGAAAGTGTCAAATGTATCTTCGGCCAGTGTCCCGTGAGGCTGATTCTGTTATTTGCATAATGCACTGTATGGTCATAACCTGGGCAGATTGTGAAGAACCATCTTCTTGGGACTAACCTTGTGGTTTCTTGATTAATGGGAGCAGAACTGAGAATTAACTCAGAACAACTAAGTGGCATAGCAGTAACTCTGCCAGGAAAATCATAAATTGAATCAGGTGTTATACTTAATTGACGAGTTTTAGTTCCTTATGTTTTCTAATTCTCCAAAACCTTTTCATCAAGTGAGGTGAAAAGAAGGAGGGAAAGACAGCTAGCAAGTAGCTTGATGGTATAGCCAGAATGTTTGTGCTTCATATTTTGAGATAGGAGTGATGTTCTACTTGGGAGATGGAGAATTTTCTGAAAGCTCACAGTCACAAGTTGCACATGTGATAAGTATTTGGCCCCACTATTTATAATCTCTGTCTATATGCCCATGTATGGAGAGGACAATACACTTGTCAGTTTAGAATAATGATTCATACGTCTAGGAAAGGGTGTGCCATAATATAATCTGTCGGGCATTAAAATGCCAAAAGATTATACACCTTTTTAGACAAGTAAAACAAAAAGAGGAACAATGGGAAAACACAGTGGTGTTCCATTTCCTCCCTTTTCCTACTAATAGTAAAGGTAAAGGTTTTCCCCTGACATTAAGTCCAGTCGTGTCTGACTGGAGGTTGGAGCTCATCTCCATTTCTAAGCCGAAGAGCCAGCGTTGTCCGTAGACACCTCCAAGGTCATATGGCCAGCATGACTGCATGGAGTGCCGTTACCTTCCCGCCAGAATGGTACCTCTTGATCTACTCACATTTGCATTTTTTCCCAAACTGCTAGGTTTGCAGAAGCTGGGGCTAACAGTAGCAGCTCACCCCACTCCCCGGATTCGAACCTGCCACCTTTTGATCAGCAAGTTCAGCAGCTCAGCGGTTTAAACCACTGCACCACCGGGGGCTCCTTCCTACTAATAATGTGTTTTAATTTCCCATTTAGTACATAGCTAAAACCTAACAGCTAAACTCAAGCCCTCAGACCCAAAAATTCATGGGTGCTCCACCCATCCGCAGAGCTGCTCCTCCAAAGAACAGAATGCATAGATAAAAACTGCAACCATCCATCACTACGGGCTGATAGGAAACATCAAGTTTTTCTACTTTAGTGCAGTGAAAACAATGTCATGGAACATTGCACACACTGCATATTTCTTTCAATAGTTTCAGCAAACAGAACTTTACTGCACAGACGTTCCGTCTACAGAGGGATCACCATGCAAATCTGCAACAAAATGCACTGTCCAGGACCTAAATTGGCTATATCACATGTCAAACTCAAGGCCCATGGGCCAGATCTGGCCTTCCATGCCATTTTATGTGGCCCTCCAGATGCTGGGCTACATACTGTTCTGTATTCCTCATCATTAGACAACATGACTAGAGCTGACAGGAGCTGTAATAAATCTGAAATGCTGCAGTTTGTTCTGTTTTGTCAGGATAGTGGGATTTGAATTTAGATAGAAGTCTTGTGGATATGATTTCTGACTTTCAAATGCTCTTTAACCTTTCCCCAACCTCAGAGCCACAAGTGTTGTTGGGTTGCTATTCCCATTATTACCAGTCTGTATGACAAATAATCAAAAGTGATGGGAGCTCTCGTTCAATAATATCTGGAATGCAAATAGGGTATAAACAGAAGAGCACTGACCACTCTTTTAAAAATTATAGTTGACCTTCTGTATCCATGGACTCTCTGTCCATAGATTCAATGGTGCTCTGAAGGCAACCACAGGGCTGATGTGGCACTTGAGGAAAATGAGTTTGACACCCTTACGCTAGATATTTTGATGAAAGAGTTTAGGTCCATATTCACAACTGCATTGCTCATAACTGTGGGTGAGGAAAGAGGCATTCTGTGCTGTCTCCTTAAAAAAACATTTCACATCACAACCAATGTTTCACTTTTCCACATCACCCACCTAAACATCTGTTGTGTAATGAATGACTCACTAGTTGCTTTCCAAACCCATGAGAAATTGAGTACTTTGAGCAAGATATACAGGGTATTTCAAAATAATGGATGTAATTTCAAAGCAATACATTATATGGTGGAAGCATGGTACAATTACACAAAAAGTTCCCAATGGTTTAATGACTTATCAAATGTTATTAACCATTTGATAAATGTCTATGTGCCATCCACTTGCTGTATGGATACCATCAGATTTCAAAGCAAGCCCAACTTTTTGAAACACCAGCATCTGATTGTTCTTCTCCTCAAATTATGGGTTTAATTTCAATTTAAGCTTTAAGAGAATTTTCTTGAGACATTGATCACTGGGAACTGTACTTTACAGTTATTTATTTTTATATGTGTTTGAAAACAACCTTCACAACTCACAGTCAACACAACTCACTAAGAGTTCCTCTTAGCTAGTGGTTCTCAATCTCCCTAATGCAGCAACCCCTTAATACAGTTCCTCATGTTGTGGTGACCCCCCAAACATAAAATTATTTTCGTTGCTACTTCATAACTGTAATTTTACTATTGTTGTGAATCATAATGCAAATATCTGATATGCTGGACGTAGTTTCATTCACTGGACCAAATTTGGCACAAATACCCGATACACCCAAATTTGAACACTGGTGGGGTTGGGGGGGATTGATTTTGTCATTTGGGAGTTCTAGTTGCTGAGATTTATAGTTCACCTACAATCAAAGAACATTCTGAACTCCACCGATGATGGAATCGAACCAAAACTTGGCACACAGAACTCCCATGACCAACAGAAAATACTGGAAGGGTTTGGTGGGCACTGACCTTGAGTTTTGGAGTTGTAGTTCACCCATATCCAGAGAGCACTATGGACTCAAACAATGATGAGTCCATAGTGCAATGATGAGTCCATAATACTGGTGGAGTTTGTGGAAAATAGACCTTGATATTTGGGAGTTGTAGTTGCTGGAATTTATAGTTTACCTACAATCAAAGAGCATTCTGAACTCCACCAATGATAGAATTGAGCCAAACTTCCCACACAGAATCCACATGACCAGCAGAAAAATACTGTGTTTTCTAATGGTCTTTGGCGACCTCTCTGACACACCCTGGCAACCTTCCCAGGGGTCCCGACCCCCAGGTTGAGAAACGCTGTTCTAAGGTAAACTGAAAATAATAAAAGCTCTATCACTGTAAAAACACCATTAACCTTTACATATCTTTAACATTGATAGGAGAGAGTTTTTCCTGGAATTCAGCCAGCATTAGTCCTGGATGACTATAGATAAAATGTTGTTCTGCAACTTTATAGCTTCCCACCACCATCACCACCAACTAATAGCTGGAGCTTCTTTAACATTCTCAGGTGCAACTTCGGGAATAAGTGTGTTCATGGCAATCCTTTACCAAGCATAACTGAATGGAGCATTTTACTGTTCCTCCTTGGCCCTATTAATTCAGATTCACAGAAGCAACACAATACAGAAAGTCAATTGGAGCATGATTATTTCCGGGGTTAAAATATAAATAGTGCCAACGTGTTATAGCGGTTTGAGTGTTGGGATGAGGACTCTGGAGACTGAGATTAAAATCCCTGCTCATCCATGAAACACAGGGGGTGATTTAGGGCAAGTCATACTGTCTCGGCCTCAGAAGAGGAAAAGGCAAACCCCCTCTAAACAAATGTTGCATACAAAACCCTGTGCTAAGTTTGCCTAAGGTCACCATAGGTTGAAAACAAACAAAAACAACAACAAATAATTTGAATATAAGCAGCGATTTTTAGACACAATGGATTACTCACCATCAAAATAAATAAAATTTAGGCTTACATTCTTCATATGCTTCTAGTGTCTTGGTTTCCAAATACTAATGGATGCAGAAACAGGAGACACAGAAAAATTAAAAACAAAAACACGGACACATTTCTTGTTGATAAGAACTGCCAATAAAGAAAAAATGCCAAATCTAGCATTTATATGTTGAATAAAGTAACCATAAAGCATTGATCAATCTACCACAATAAAACATAAAATAAAAATGAAAAAGACCAAAAAAGCACATGAACTTAGGCTTTTAATAAAAGATACACTTGAATACTGCAACAATAAGAGTGCAAAAATGTTTATAAATCTTCTATTGCAAGTATTTTACCAAACAATGAAAGTAAAGGTAAGGTTTTCCCTGACATTAAGTCTATTCGTGTCCGACTCTGGGGAATGGTGCTTATCTCCATTTCTAAGCCGAAGAGCCGGCATTGTCCATAGACATGTCAAGGTCATGACTGCATGGAGTGCCGTTACCTTCCTGCCAAAGTGGTACCTATTGATCTACTCTCATTTGCATGTTTTTGAACTGCTAGGTTGGCAGGAACTGGGCTAACAGTGGGAGCTCACCCTGATCCCAGATTTGAACAGGCGACCTTTCGGTCAGCAAGTTCACCAGCTCAGCGGTTTAACCTGCTGCACCACCAGGCTGAAATAATGACTCAATATAATGTTTTTCTCTGTGTAGGTTTGTTTATGCAGATTGTTTCTCCCTCACCCAGCTATCGTTTCCCTGAGTGCAGCCTGCTGTAAAAGGGGTATGGAATCACTGTCTAAAACAAAAAGAATGAAAAAGGACCATGATTTAGATTATCTTCATTTTCCAAATATCAGCTAGTGAAAACACTTAAAAAACAGTTAGACAAGGAGGCAACAGTGTTATAACGGGACATGAGATCACTGCAAGTCCATAGCTAGAAAATGCAAGAAAAGGTTTACAATCCAACTTGTGCCTCAACAAGCCCTGAATCAAAGCTCATTTGAAAGTTAATTTGCAGCTGATAGGTGCAGTAGAGTTTAATATAGCAACCATTTAAATTCCAAAATACTAATATTTTGGGCCAATAGCTATAGTACTTAAAATGTATTTAAGGAAAACCAAATACTGAGGATACTCTGAAGCATTTATAATGAACTAGTTGCCCCCTGCCACGCGTTGCTATGGCCCAGTCTGGTGATCTGGAAAATAAAGTAATGAGAAAGTGTTGGTTTCTAATATATGTAATTTCTTTATGCTTGTGGGTAAACAGTATTACGTTTTCTTGCCCTGGTGAAGGGGGTTGGACTCGATGGCCTTAAGTATTTTCTATTGGTCATAGGGGTTCTGTATGGGAAGTTTGCCCCAATTCTATCATTCTTGGGGTTCAGAATGCTCTTTGATTGTAGGTGAACTATAAATCCCAGTAATTACAACTCCCAAATGCCATGGTCTATTTCCCCCAAGCTCCATCTGTGTTCCTAGTTGGGCATATGGAATATTCGTGCCAAGTTTGGTCCAGATCCATCATTGTTTGAGTCCACAGTGCTCTCTGGATGTTGGTGAACTACAACTCCCAAACTCAAGTTAAATGCCCACGAAACCCTTCTAGTGCTTTCTGTTGATCAAGGGAGTTCTGTGTCCCAAGAGTGGTTAAATTCCATCATTGGTGGAGTTCAGAATACTCTTTGATTGTGGGTGTACTATAAATCCAGCAACTACAACTCCCAAATTACAAAATCAATTTTTTGAGTGAAGGACATACATTGGGTTGTTAGGTGTATTGTGTCCAAATTTGGTGTCAATTTGTCCAGTGTTTTTTGAGTTATGTTAATCCCACAAACAAACAGTACATTTTTATTTATATAGATGCCAACATTTATGCTTTAAAGCCCCCCCCCCTCCCGGGCATGAGAAGCAATGTATTCCCATGTAATAGTTAAAAGATTGTTTCAGGAATCCCTACAACTGCTCCAGAACTGAGCTAGAAGAATCAGAAGAATGAAGAACAAATATATTCTGAATTAAAGTCATGACAGACTCTAAAATCTCATATGGCAGCTTATAATAGGATATCTGTATCTATAGGAGGAGTCAGTCATCTCTCGTGACCAGATACAGGAGCATGTGACTTTTATCAGTGTTTCCAAAACACAAACGGTTCATGAACTAGGCATCAGATTTGGGTGGGTTTTTAAAACGTTCAATTTTATTCAAGAAACGCAAAGTTAATTTCCAGTTTAAATACATATCGGAAAAACAAACAAAGCGTAACCATCTCTCTTCATAGAAAATAAAAGTAATCTCCATCTTTAGCCTTGTAAACAGCCTGAAGGCAGCACATCGAAATCTGCAGCATCCACAGAAATACCCTCCTTCCCCACAAAATAATCTTCCATTGGCAAAAGCAAGCTACCCTAGACAGCTGTGCAATTCATTCAAGGCCTGAAAATAAATTTTTTTCCAAAACTGGCCTTGATAGAAGTAACATGTGTGCCTAGTGATAGCACAGCAAGTGGTCATACAGGATGGGGAAGTACGATGCCCCAGTCATCTGAATTTTGAGATTTTTCTTGGTCTGGATCAATTCCAGTCCTGGACAAAAGCTACCCATTGTGCCAAAACAGTGTCATTTTGGGGCCAAATGCCCAGAGTGTGCTCATGTGTTAATGTGTGAATCCACAATTCAACTCATCAGTGGAGAAATATGAAATGGAAAGAGAGCATTGACTATGGCCAACGTCAGTCTTTCTCTAATATAAAGCCAATAGTACAGTGGTTCTCAACCTGTGGGTCCCCAGGTGTTTTGGCCTACAACTCTCAGAAATCCCAGCCAGTTTACCAGCTGTTAGGATTTCTGGGAGTTGAAAGCCAAAAACATCTGGGGACCCACAGGTTGAGAACCACTGCAATAGCATAATTGAAAGCTTAACTGCGTAGCTCTAGGACAGTGGTTCTCAACCTGTGGGTCCCCAGAAGTTTTAGCCTTCAACTCTCAGAAACCCTAACAGCTGGTAAACTGGCTGGGATTTCTGGGAGTTTTAGGCCAAAAACATCTGAGGACCCCAGGTTGAGAACCACTGCTCTAGGAAGAAGCCAACATGAAATAGCTGGAAGGTCAAGAAAAAAATCAGTTTTTTTCTGGAACAATAAGGTAGTAGATTAGCAAGAACGCATCCTCAAAATTCCACTGACTGGAAGAGGAATACCCAATTGCTATGTTTTTTTAGTATACTTGTAATGGTAAGAATAGAGAACAAAATCACATTGTCAGACTCTCTGTTTTATCTTCTGTATTAGAACAGTGGTACATTTGATTCCTTGTCCTCCTGTCATTTCAAAATAAGGGTCATCACCAACATATTAAAGCAAGTATTAAGTGAGGGAAGGGACTGTAACGAAAAGTCAAAAGTCAGAAGCCACAGACAAAACTGTTTCCTGCTTTCATCACTGGACAAAGGAATTTATATGGCAGTCTGCATCACCGATATGTCCAAGTATTGGTGGGGAAAACGGATTAGTCTGTCATAAGAAAAGAGAACGAGGTCTTCAACTTCATGACATTTTCGGCAATTAATCCTTGTGCAGCGCTGGTAATACTGTTTTTGACAACATTATGACCATTAAGAGCAGCATCGAGACCCAATACCAACAAAACCAGTTGATACAGAACCATGATGCAAAACAGTCTACTATCGTGCCTTTCTTTCTTTGTTCAAGTCAAGACTTGAATACAATTTTCCCGTTTCTTGACAGGGGGTTGGACCTGATGGCCCAGGAGGTCTCTTCCAACTCTATGATTCTAAGACACACCTCCATGATGCATACCCTTTCTAACCATCTTCCCAGATCGAAATTTGTTTGTTTTCTCCCTTTTTCAGGAATGAAACAATTTGATGAAAAAGAGGAACACTTTGACAAAAGCAAGATGTCATTTAATCAAAAAGGATTTTGATAGCCATGATACTTTAAAAACACTTCTTTGATATATCCCAAGGCATGGGTACATTTCAACACATGGCAGTTTAAGAATACCCTCTATCATGAAGTATTTCCCAAAAATGTGTATCTCTAATACAACATGAGTCTCACAATGTAAGCCCCACCATGTTGTCCCCATGTCACACTGACCTCTTGACTTCACACAAAACGTTATGTCCTGTGTTATTCGCTATAGAAGCAGAACATACCAGAGAAATTCCCTTCCCTTTCCCCTCCCAACCAGCATCCTTCAGATTACTAATTGGCAAAGCCATGGGAAATAAACAAACAAATTTTTAAAAAGACACAGAAATGTAAGAATGGTTTCTGACAAACTCTATACATTCCAGGTACCCAGAAAAGTCTCCCCACTAGGAAATCTGTGCTCAAAAACTCCACCTCCATTTGGCCCTTTCTCCCAGCTCAGTCCAATAGGTGACAATGTCCTGCTGAAAGAAGAAATAAAATCTCCCGGACTTGACAAAACAAAACTTCAACTTCCTGGCATTTTCCTGAGGTCACCAAGGGACTGGGATGCTCTTTTCCAGCTGCCTCAATTAACACCAGCACAAACCACAGTGACAGGGCAGGTGGCAGCCGCATTACAACTCAGACTGTGAGCGGGAGATGCGAGGCCCCTTGCGGATTTCCTTCCGTTTCTCCTCTTTCTTCCTTCGCTTCTCTTCTTCCCGGAGAGCCTTCTGGAATGTGTCTGCACTGGGGAAGAACTGACAGAAAACAGGATGAGCTCAGCCATGTGAGCACACAGAGGGGCAGGTAATTACATTTCTTCCAACCAATCTCATAGACGGCTGGCTAGCAATGCCTCTTCCTTCAATTTATGCCCATTTGATAGTTTTGGAATTTCAGTGACCTTCAAGAGATGCAAAACTAGCCACTAGCTCAAGGGAAGGCAGCTATAAGGTTGCTCTCATGCATCCCATGTAATTACTTAACGCAGACGGGCAAATGCATTTGTACCTCCTTCAATCAAAAGGAAATTGCCAACATCCACCGACTACCAAAAGCAACTAAGGTCTCCTCCAAACTGACCAAAAGCCTTGAGATTTGGTGGGAATCGTACCTATAATTATTACAATTTTATATGGTATATCTCCTGTCCCAGTTTATCTGCTCTTTTTAAAGACAGGGCGGGAGGTGTTTCCCCTCCTGCTTCTGCTACAGGTAAATTCCATGCCTAAAAATGTATTGTTTCAGTTTCTCTTGTATTTTTGTGTGTCAGAAATGACTTGAGAAACTGCAAGTCACTTCTGGTATGAGAGAATTGGCCACCTGCAAGGGTGTTGCCCAGGGGACGCTTCTTTCATGTCCTTGCATGGGGAGCTGGAGCTGACGGAGAGAGCTCAAACCGTTCTCCCCAAATTTGAATGGCCGACCTGTCAGTCAGCAATCCTGCCGGCACAAGAGTTTAATCCATTGCACCACCAGGGGCTCATTCTGAGTAGTGCCCCGATTAAGTGTTGAACAGCGGTATGACCTTTGCCAGAGAAGTTTACCTCTGTCTTCTTCCCTTATAGAATTTCTGGTTAGTAAACGGAAAGTTTTTTCTCTCCCCGCCCCACTTCTCTTTTCTTTTTCACTTGTAGTGTTATTACAGTAAAGTCCCTTAGCACGATAACTCTCTCTCTCTCTCTCTCTCTCTTAAAGTGCAAGATAGGGACAGTGGGTACTGAATATTGGGGGGGGGGGGAGTTGTTGCATTCATGGATGGGCTGACGACAGACAGTTCTTTATTACAGTCCAAAGGCCCAACAAATAGAAATTAAATTAACATCATGTAAGATAAAAACACAATGACCATTTGGAAGCAACCCCAGAAATAATAGTCAAACCATACAGGCAATACTCATTTCAGACATCTTTCAATGAAACAGAAGTTAACTCTTCTCTAATCCTGCCATACTTCAGACAAAAGGTTGTTAATTACCAAGTTCTTATCTTCTAATAAGAAGCTGATGTAATATTGGACCAGTCAAGCCAGTAGATTAGTCAATAACACATTACAGGCACTCTCCAAATTAGGAACAAGATAGGTCCTGTAGGTTTAATGTATTGTCGAAAGCTTTCATGGCCGGAATCACTGGGTTGTTGTAGGTTTTTTCGGGCTATATGGCCATGGTCTAGAGGCATTCTCTCCTGACGTTTCGCCTGCATCTATGGCAAGCATCCTCAGAGGTGCAAATTCAAAACTGAATTTGGAAAAAAATGGCTTGTTGTGGAAAGGACTGGTGCTAAAGCTTCAGTTGAGAAACCTTTTCCCCATGATAAGGTTTAAAGGGTTGAATTTCCCTTCCTAGGAGTAGATTTCTGTCACTTCCTGCTGTCTCAACCCCCGTTTGTAACTATGAGTCATTTGTAAGTTGGATGTTTGTAACACGGGGACTGCCTGTAATCGTGTGCTGTCAAACCCGACTACAGAATCCACAGAACAAAAACATGTGCTGCATGGATTCCACCTCCTAGTCACAATCCAGAATTAATATCCCAATATTTATTTGAACTATTGGCCTATCTGGAGACCCCTGAACTGGGAAACTACCAAGTAAAATAATCCTATGCCTCTGAACTGGCTACCCAGTCCATTGCACTGGTCATCTTGTCTGAAGGAGCACTTGTTTACAATGTAGCTGCATAAATTTCCTTAGGGGGCAACTATCTATAATATCAACTAAATAAGGAAATTATTTGTATCTGACTGGCTGTATAGGATCAACATATCGTAAGAAGTTGTCACCTGATTTGAACCTGAGGAGCAGATGGCAAGAAAAGAACCTTGTTAATAGTGATAAAAATACTTTACAACAAAATGCTGCCTGCTTGTTTTCTTCTCTCTCTTTTTTTTACTTTTCCATATTCAAGCAAACTCACAATTTGTAAACAGAGGAAGGGGGAAATGAGTATGATAGAATCTCAGCTTTATTATCTTACTTCAGAGTTATCAGTTTTAAAGGGATTTCGGTAGTCTGGAGATCTCTCACTAATCCCCAGCTCTTGGGCCATCTGCAATGAAAAACATAAAGAAAATTATGAATGTCAATCTAATTCTTATATTCATACATTTTTCCTCCCTGTTGCCAACAAATGCTTTGCCTTTCAGGATTGTCTCTATTAGAGTTCCACATAATTTGGCAGTTTACTGAAATAGCTCCTCAAAAAGCTACCCTCAAAATAAGCATATCACACTGCAAGAAATGTTGAAAGCCTTTCTGGACTGCGTTGCTGAGCTAACAGTTTACACATGACCGGTGAGGATGATCTACAGTCAGCATAAGCTGCACACAGATGTTGTACTTATTTATTTATTTATTTATTTGCTACATTTATATACCGCTTTTCTCCCCCTAAGGGAACTCAAAATGGTTTCCAACATTATAAAGGCAACATTCAATGCCATACCTACCTGTGAAAACCAAAAGATAATAGCAAGACAATAGCATATAACTATAAATTAACCTAAGCAAATTAAAACATAAACATAAAAGAACATTTAGATATAAAGCATAAAAATTAAACATCGATACGATAATAACATTTATATTAAAACCCACCGATAAACAACATGATTTAAAAACAGTTATTAAAATCACGCAATTCAAAATCAAGTCCATAGTAATTCCATTGGTCCGTTCACTATTCCTTATTATCTTACTGCACTACGAGGTTTGCTGTCCGAAAGCTTGGTCACGTAACCTCGTTTTTACTTTCTTCCTGAATGTTAGGAGGGAGGGGGCTTCTCTAATTTCACTAGGGAGGGAGTTCCATAGCTGAAGGGCCACCACTGAGAAGGCCCTGTCTCTCGTTGCCACCAGTCATGCTTGCTAGGAAGGTAGAATTGAGAGTAGGGCCTTCCCAGAAGATCTTAATCTCCAAGGTGGATCATAGAAGGAGATATGTTCAGACAGGTAAGCTGGGCAGGAACCATTTTGGGCTTTATAGGCGAAAGCCAGCACTTTGAATTGTGCTCGGTAGCACACTGGCAGCCAGCAGAGCTGGCATAACAAGGGAGTTATGTGCTCCCTATACCCCACTCCAGTAAGCAATCTGGCTGCTGCCTGTTGGACTACTTGAAGCTTCCAAACAGTCTTCAAAGGCAACCCCACGTACAGCGCACTGCAGTAGTGTACCCTTGATGTGACAAGAGCGTGGACCACTGTGTTGAAGTGAAACTTCCCAAGATATGGGCGCAACTGGCGCACAAGTTTTAATTGTGTGAAAGCTCCCTGGCCACCACTGAGACCTGGGGTTCCAGGTTCAATGATGATTGTACATGATGGAATGGACGGTTATACTAAATCAGAAGATCAACACACTGGACGCAAGACATGCTGTATTGTATATCCCACAAGGAAAGCTCTTCTCTGCAGGGAACCTGAATGGGACCCTTATATATACAGTATATCAATCATAAATGTCAATGAGAAAAATGTACAATTTCAAAATTTCTACAAGAATTCTCAGCATGGATTTTACCCATTCTGGGAAATGATGACTAAACAAGATTTCCCAATGATTGGGATTTTGGGGTGGATGTAGATTTTAATGCATTTTGATATTTAATAGTTTAATGACACAAAAGATTTTAATTTTTAATGATACTTATATTCTAATTTGTTGCATTGTTGTAATTGGCATTGTGTCATATTTATTATTAGCTACCTTGAGTCCCTCTAGCGGGAGAAAAGTAGGATACAAAAATAAAGCGAATAAATGAATAAAATGATTACTTTTATATCGAGATGCACAACAACAATAAATAATAGTAGTAATATTTATATCCTGCTTCTTCTCTCCCAAAGGAGACTCAAAGCACATTAACATTTACATGCAGATTTTATGCTAGTCCCTACACAAATGCTTTCAATATACATATTTGAAATATTTGAGGCAACCTTTAGATTAGTGATTCTCAGTCTGAGGGTCCCCAGGTATTTTGGTCTACAACTCCCAGAAAACCCAGCTAGTTTACCAGCTGTTAGGATTTCTGGGAGTTGAAGGCCAAAACATCTGGATATCCACAGGTTGCAAAACACTGCATTAGATAGTTTATTTTCCCCAACCCATTTTCCTTTACCAGCATTTTCCCTGCCAACCATCCCACTCCAAAGGACAGTGAAAACAAGGGAAGAAGCCAAGCAACTGTAGTGTCTTACCAGTCCTAGTACTTGTGAATGGGATCCTTGGTCAAAGACGCCAGTTTGGTTACAGAAGCTGATCCCCCAACGGATTAAGTTGTGCCAGTTGGAGTTGCGATCGAAGTAATGATGTACTATCTTTGGAAAGCGTAAGACTACATCACCAAAAAAGGCAGTGTTCTCTACCACATGGGAATATGCTAAAGGAGAAAAGAATCACAGTGACAAAGTTCAGGAGTCTGTCTTATTGGTTTTGCCACAATTAGAGATCAACCAACTTCGATGTCTGTGGGAACAAACTTGGAATAATTATATAAATTCATTCTCTAATCCAGTTTAACAAGTTTTCCATATTCAACATTTATTAAAAGAAAGTTTTTTTCTTAATTTTGCTTGACAGAAAAGTGGGCATGTTGTCCTGTATCAGTGACTATGAAATAGAGAGGTTATACTTTATTCCAAGTTCATTTATTAAGAGTAAGAGGGAACAACCCTATGTACACAGCATTTGGAAAGGCAAACACTGAGGAATGAATTCACCCAAATTCCTGGACTTCATAATTCCAGGATACAAACTGGCATCACACAAACCCTTGTAGAACCCAGATGAACATATAATTTAATGTGACACCATTTTCCCTTGAGCTGTTTTCCTTGAGACATTGAATTTTGCTATTGGTTGTTGGTTCTGATGTTTGTTTTATATATTGCTTAATATTGTTGTTTTTATCTTGTTATATTGCTTTTTGTTATTATTTTGTTTGATATGCATTTTAATGTGTTATATTTTAACTGTACTGTTGGGCTTGGCCCAATGTAACCCGCACGAGTATCTTTGGGGAGATGGAGATGGGGTATAAAAATAAAGTTGTTGCTGCTGTTGCTGTTGTTATTATTTTAAAAAACAATGGGAATCTTAGGAGTATTTTTAAAATATTGAATAAAGAAATTTTTGTCACAACTTATAGCCAATAATAATAATAATTATCATCATTATCATGATCTTTATTTACACCCCCACCATCTCCCCGAAGGGACCCAGAGCAGCTCACAAAAGCACTCCAGAGTGCTGCATATAAAATAAACAATACATAAGCATAAAAATAATAACAACATAAAATTATAGCAACAACCACAATAGATGCATTTAACATCACATAATTATAAAATTGTTAAAATTTATAAAATGCAGAAGTACTTGCAGATAAAACTGGCTGTCATCAATTAATGAACTAAAGTGCCTGAGTGAATAATCAGTCCTCAATTGCACCCATTTCAATCTAATCAAGGTCAAAGTCCCATTTAAAAAAACAAACATGTTTTCAGGATAGATTGAAAGGTTTGGAGAGTGGGGGCTAACCCAATCTCTCTAGGGAGTGCATTCCAGAGCCGGGGAGCCACCACTGAGAAGGCTCCCTCTCTCGTCTCCACCAACTGTACTTGAGACAGTGGTGGGATCGAGAGAAGGGCCTCCATGGCAGTTTCTACAACACAAGAAAAAACTTATATTGCAGAAAAACTATTTGAAGAGACATCCTATCATCATCACAGATACTGGTGACAAGAGTATTTTGAGATGTAGAGGCAGGATAGAGCTTGGCAAAGAAACCTTTTATGTATTTTGTGTCTTGCAAGATATCCAGCCCTTTTTCTAACCTTTCTAGCACATTTGGTAGAGAGAGGAAACATGATTGCCTCTCATCCTCTAGGTTTTGAGGGCCAACATCTTTTCTCAGGATAAAATATCCATGGCGACAACAATTTCTTGAGAGAATGCCTTAACATAGAGACTAGTGTATTGAACAAAATCACTGGAATGTATCTTGTCTCTAAAAGGAAAGCTAAAATTGCTTTTCTAACGGCTGGAAGGCAATGAATTTCCTCATCAAGGTATTTAAAAAAGTAATTAGAAACATAAGCAATCAGTCCTAAAAGGAAATATATGTAAATTTCCATATAACATATACATTGCAGTTTAGTGAAGGCACAAAATCTGAGGTCCTGGAACTAGAAACTGAAATTATTTCGCTCTGAATTCCAAGACTATTTTTAAGATGATTAAAAATACTAAAGGGCTTTAACATTTAGGACATTGATTAGCCTGTTTCTCTCAGTATTATTATCTCAGTATTGAATTTATTTCTATATCACCTCCCAACTAACAAAGGTTCCCAAGATAGGGAGCAAATAAAAAACACTTAAAACAAAATAAAGATTTAAAAACCATTGTAAACATGTACTCCAACGCTGTTTACCAACTCTTAAAAACATTATAAAAACACTCCTAGATTCCTGTTTTGAAATAGTTAATATAGCAACAATTAAACATGGAATGCCCTGTGGAACAGCATTGTTTTGGCACATTACATGAAGACATTGCGCTCCAATGGGATGCATTTAACTGACCAAGAGAGAAAAACAGGGTTTCAGTCTCAATGAGCCCATATGCCTATTTAATTATACTGATCAGCCCTACACGCGTGAACTTTCCAAACATATGCAGAGGCAAAATAGTAAGATTCTGTTCTGCTTCATGTACCATATGCCATGCAGTTTCACTTGGCTGTGTTCCCATCCCAGGACCTTTACAAATGTCAGAAATGATGACACACAAGAACAGAAATGACAGAGGTGGCTAAGGAAGAGTAGCCAAGATGGCAAGGGAGCTACAGTGCCATCACGGCTCATCATTACAAACTTAATCGATAGAGAATGATGGACAGGGAAAGTGGGATTAGAAGAAGAGAGTGCCCCCACCATCCTTTAGCTTTTCATCCTGAGGAAATGGCCCATCTGGTGGAACATCTGCTGCTATAAGCACTGCCCGTGAGTCTTCAAGGACCTGTACATCATAAGAGAAAGCCATCTCAGGTTATTCTCGTTTCTGCCAAAGGCATATTTTTTCCACATTCTATTGTCAGGAACAGCTTCTTCCCACCTCCTCTTTTACTTTGTTGAAAGTAGGGAACTACTTTAGTCTACAGTCTAATGACGTTGTAGATGGTGCTCCTACAGGATAATTGGGCTGGAAAGTTTTTAATAACTTTTAGTGTAATGAGGGCTTACATTAGCATAAATACTTTCTTATATAAGGAGATATCTGATATCTCCATGCATACTTTTCCCCCTCTGTTTGGGCAACAGAATCCAGATAGCACCGAGGTCAAAAAATGGAAAAGGCCTATGATTGGCCACAGCAATATACCCAGGTGCCATCCAGCTATTACTCTGTAGCTGAAGGGGGAAAATGTATCCTGATTGGATAAAGTTCCCTTCAGCCTCTAAACCTCCAATGCATACCCTCTGGAGATAATTTACATTCCACAAACATAGAATCCTAGAGGTGGAAGAGACCTCATGGGCCATCCAGTCCAACTCTCGCCAAGAAGCAGGACAATTGCATTCAAAGCACCCCCAACAGATGGCCATCCAGCCTCTGTTTAAAAGCCTCCATAGAAGGAGCTTCCACTACACTTTGGAGTAGAGAGTTCCACTGCTGAACAGCCCTCACAGTCAGAAAGTTCTTCCTAATATTCAGGTGGAATCTCCTTTCTTGTAGTTCGAAGCTATTGCTCCGCGACCTAGTCTCCAGGGCAGCAGAAAACAAGCTTGCTCCCTCCCCGCTATGACTTCCCATCATAGAATCATAGAATCAAAGAGTTGGAAGAGACCTCATGGGCCATCCAGTCCAACCCCTGCCAAGAAGCAGGAATGTTGCATTCAAATCACCCCTGACAGATGGCCATCCAGCCTCTGTTTAAAAGCTTCCAAAGAAGGAGCCTCCACCACACTCCGGGGCAGAGAGTTCCACTGCTGAACGGCTCTCACAGTCAGGAAGTTCTTCCTCATGTTCAGATGGAATCCCCTCTCTTATAGTCTGAAGCCATTGTTCCGCGTCCTAGTCTCCAAGATAGCAGAAAACAAGCTTGCTCCCTCCTCCCTGTGATTTCCTCTCACATATTTATACATGGCTATCATATCCCCTCTCAGCCTTCTCTTCTTCAGGCTAAACATGCCCAGCTCCTTAAGCCGCTCCTCATAGGGCCGGTTCACCGGACCCTTGATCATTTTAGTCGCCCTTCTCTGGAGACATTCCAGCTTGTCAATATCTCTCTTCAATTGTGGTGCCCAGAATTGGACACAGTATTCCAGGTGTGGTCTAACCAAGGCAGAGTAAAGGGGTAGCATGACTCCCCTGGATCTAGACATAAAACAAGATCTAAGCCTAGCCTTATCCCCAGATGTGTGGTCTAATAAATATATACGCTAGCCTTTGAAAATGCTTCATAATATTAACTGGAAACAAAGATTGAAGTTCTTGGATCAAAGCTTGGTAGTGGCTCATGCACACAGGTGTGCCATTACCTTCACCTCAGGCAGCATAAAAAGGGAGCCTGTTGCCCAGAAGGTCAATAAAGAAACAACAGCTCTACACAGCTTTGATTGCCTTTTCCATGTGTTGTCAAGTCCTTGTAGCCCAGCTGGAAATCACTTATCTGATGCTGTGTTTATTTCCCTCCATTTGCTTAAGCACAGCCAGAGAGCAGCCCAAATAAAACACAACAAAAATATTAGACTGCTCCTTGAACATTCAGCTCCTGCTTTTAGATAATCTCAAGGAAAAGATACACCTTGTACTGATTGGGAAATGGGCAGAGACAAACCAGAGGATAGGGGTGCCTTTGGTGAATGGTAGCTGTTTGATCTAGCAGCACTTTGTGTGATTGTGGGCCACGTTCTTCACCACCTCCCATAGGACTAGTAGTTGCCACCTTTCCTATTGCAGCATTCCCTTCAGGACTACTCAAAAAAATTGCAGGGATGAAAACCCTCTGCCCAGTTAGGCTCACTTTGAAAAGGCCCTTGAGCATGATGTCTATGATCTTGTATTGTTGGTTCACATCATTGAGTTCAATCAGGTTCTTCAGGGCATTCATCTGGTCTTTGCGTTTCACTTCAAACAACTTCTTATCTGTGGTTTAGTCAAGGGTGCTATACACAAACAGACACCCCAAACCTTGCTCCAGCCCCCCTGATCCACCCAACAAAACAATCCAAACCAAAAGCCCACAGTACAATTTTCACATCTTTCCCTTTTTCTCATATAGTCTATTGATACCCACCCAAAGTAACCATTACAAGAGACTGGGTTTCTCCTAATTACATCAAATGTAAGGGATATATTTTCAACTTCATGTGGATACAGCGAGCCCTACTGAAATAAAGGATTTCTCATCCAAGACTAAACAAAGGTACACTGGAGGACCTAGAAACTTCTGGACATTGGTTTTGCATATATGGGGTCATACCTTATTGTCCCCACATTTCATGAGAAATTCCCATTTTCTAGAAACAGAACACAGCTTAGAGAAGCATTTGTTGATCTGGAGCACTAGGACCCAACTTCAGACTTACAAAACACTGTTGGTGTATCAGTGTCCTGCAAGTCATCTGTGGGGCTGCACGGCTTGATCAGTGAGGCCTTAAACACCAGAAGGGGAGGGATGAAATGGATGAATAAACTGCAGAGACAGAGCAAGGGAAAAGGTCACATTAGTGGAGCCATTCATTTTGTTTTGCGAAAGATATCAAGTGTAAAACGTCAGTTGCAATTAGTATCATGAAAATGCTAACAGAGAGGAACAGGAATCAGTCATGGTTGGTGGGTCTACTAAATACGCCTTAATATATAAATGTGTCTGTGCAAAATGTCTTTCCTATGGGATGGTCCAGAAAAGGGTTTGATAATATTGTAGTGGTCTATACTAAAAGGGGGTGGGGGGGTGGGGGGGGGAGTAGGGAACTGCTAGCTAAAGCTCTGAAACAGAATTACACTAGTTGTGAATAAAAACAGAAAAACAAGGGAGGATAATACAAAAAATAGATTAAAACTAAAAGGTGGCAAGGAGAAAATGTTATCATTAAAAATATATAAATACCATATAACCCGAGTTTTTCAGCCCTTTTTTAAGGCTGAAAAAGCCCCACTCGGCTTATACTGGAGTCAAGGTAATTTATTATTTTACTCTGTTGCTATTATTATTATTATTATTATTATTATTATTATTACATTTATTATTTTACCCTATTTATTATTATTACATTTACATTATTTTACTCTTTATTATTATTATTACATTTATTATTTTACTCTATGATTACTGTTATTATTTGCATTGTGTGGGATTTGGGGGGGGGGGGTGTCTTCTCCTGAAAGAGAGCCCAAATAACTAGAAAACAATAGTTTCAGAAGTGATGTTCACAAAGTCTTGCTGCAGGGATCTAAAGAGACGGGAACTGGGGTAGGTGCCATACCTGTCTCTGCGTGCATTTGCCTTCAATTCACCTATGAGCTTACAGTTTTCCTCAGGTAAAGAACACTCAGGTGCTCCTATGACTCTAAAACACACCCTTCAACAAGCATCCGAAATACAGGTTATCATTTCCTTATTGACTGTTGGCAGACATTTTATTCAGGCCAGCCTTCCAGAACTCAGTTTCAATGTTGTTGTTTATTTGGGTTCCCTGCTGCTGATGTTGACTTATTCAGATATTTTCATGCATTATTGATGCCTTTTAATATACATCAGCCCTTCAGAGAGATTTCTGGCCAACAGACAGGGTCAGGAATTCTTTAAATAAAATCCAAACAAGGCAAGCAGAGCATACTAAGCACCTCTACATTATTTAAAAGACAACAGTGCTATTTAGAGGCTAGTCACAATATCTTATCCTGATATAAATAATGGGGATCGAGAAAAGAAATGGTATTGACATTTGTAAAGGAATACTTTCCATAGGAGTAGCCATAGTAGTTTCCTGCAGCAAAAATAATTAACTACTGCATGACTCCTAAAAGAAAAATGCTTGAATGCCAGTGGTACTAATTATGTCAGAAGAATCAAAGGGGATGGTAGCCAAGATCTATCTGGGCTTTAGCACAGCTGGTTAATCACCAGCAGCAATAGATTTTACCAATCGAAAGGTTACCAGTTCGAAGCCTGGGTTGGAGTGAGTACTTGACCTTCAGCCCAGCTTACTGTCCACCTAAGCAGTTCAAAAACAGCTGTGGGCTGTGAGAAGAGAAATTAGGCACCGCTTAAGCTAGGAGGTATTTTATGGCACCAGAAATATGCCAGCCATCACAGGTAGGTGGACATTTGTGATCAAGGCTCTTTGTTCTAGACGTTAGAGCAACAGCACCCCCTGTGGCTGGAATCATTCATAACCTCTAGGACACCGAAGTTGGGGGAAATGCAGACATAATGTCTCTATCTATTCTCTCTGTTTAACAGCATTGAATGTTTGCCCTATATGTGTTGTGTGATCCATCCTGAGTCCCCTTTGGAGTGAAAAGGGCGGAATATAAATGCTAAGAGATCACTATCAGGGAGCAAAGGAGGAATGTAAGCAGGGAGTGGGGCTAGAAAAAGGCTGCTGGTTCTCTGCCACATGTTTCTGAAATGTCTGGCTTCCAAAGGGAGGGGTGTCAGAGCCATGGCACTCATGGAAGGGTGACTTGGAAAATTGCCTGTTTCGTGACACAAACCATCCCGCCCAGATTGTCTGTCGCTGAGGATTGACACCCCACCCCACCCAAAAGCCAAACAATCGGGAAGCTTATGATCTCTTGCAACTCTATGATTCTGGTAGGCCTACCCAGTCTTGTGAATTTCAACCTGCACTTTTATCAGTGAATTTCAACCTGCATTTTACCTGTGTATACTATGTGTGCTTTAATAGTGTTGTGTTTTATCTCTCTGTTTTAACCATATTGTTAAAGATACATCATCGTCATTAGTAGTAATAGTAGTAGTAACATATCCAAACTCTCTCAGCATAACTGAGAAAATGAAATATTACACATAAAATATTACACATACACATACAACAGGATTTCCAGCCTAAAAAGTCCACTTCATCAATGCATGATGTTACTGAGTGCCTTCAAGTTATTTCTGATTTATGGTTATTGAATCATGGGGTTTTCTGGGCAACCTTTATTCAGAAAGGGTTTGCTTTTACCTTCCTCTAAAGCTGAGAGAATGTGACTTGCCTAAGGTCATCCAGTGGGTTTCCACAGCTGAGAAGGCCTCTAGAATCACAATCCAACACTCAAACCACTATATGGTTTTTATTGTGTTACTGATGTTAATTGTAATGAATGTTTTACCTGTATTAAATGTTTTTAACGTTTAAATTATTTTTGTACTGTTGTGGTCATCGAATTGTGCCGTTTTGTAAACCGCCGTGAGTCGTCCTCAGGATGAGAATGGCGGTATAGAAGCATAGTAAATAAATAAATAATAAATATAATGTCAGCTCTCTGTGTGATGTTAGATGGTGTAATAATAAATAAAAAAATGTTATTTATATTCCGCCCTATCTCTCCAGAAAACCGAATTATGTCATCAACATCTTCTACAGCCCATTCACTTGCTTGTGTATTCTAAATAGTGGGAAAAATCAATCTCTGTACAAAGGAATAAACGGCAATTATTTCGATTAGAAATGACAGACATTTCTCATTTAAAGCAGCCATTCTGAAAGAAAATAATCTGAAAGGGTGTTCACCAGAGGTGCCTCCAATCTGTAATAAGTTTCAAAAACCTTCCACCTGTAGCTTGAATCAATATAAAGTTGTCATCACCAACTGCCTGTATTAATTAGGTTACCAATACTAGGCAGTCTAAATAATCACATGTTCTGTGAATGGCTGCTGTTAATAATGTACTTGTCACTGTTTATACTTTTTGCATCTGTTTCCAAGCCCTGCCCTTCCCTTCCTCCGTAACCATTTATGTACATGTGTAGGTGAATCTGTGTATCTGATGAAGTGGGATCCACTGTGAAAGTGTATGTCATTACAATCTTGATTATTCTATCAGCTTCTATAGTTTTCCCAAGTAAAAGCAATATTACAGATCATAATGAAAGGGGGAACCAGTGGAGGAAAGGAGGTAAATTAAAGCAGCCTGCATACTTAAACAATAGCTCTGCAAAGATGAAAGCACATAGCCAGCGAGGATGTGTATTTTTTTAATATATGGGGAAATGTTTTAGACTTTCCTGCTTCTAAAAATAAGCAGTGCTGGATGAGCATTTTTCTGCTGCAGAGACACAAGTTGCAGCTATCAAGAGCATTAGACAGAAATACATAAAACAAGTTGTATAGCAGCCACACTTGGGTAGGGTCCGTGGCTGATGTCATAGACATTAACTAGGACAGGAGTGAGCAAAGTTCAATCTAACGCTATAAATGAACCCAAAGTTGCTTTTTTTGTTCATGGGTCCTTCAGAGCTCTCCTCAATACCTTCTGTGCTTTAAAAAAGTGTTATTTTCCTACTCTTGAAGCCTGATAGAAGACAAAGCGATGTTTTTGTTTAGTGCAGAAGGGAAGGCCTGATGTAGCTCAGCAGTCAGGGGCTGATGGGTTCACTGATGTTTCAGAAGGGATTGTGAGATTTCCTGGGATTCAAATTGATGCCGATTCAGGCCAGGTTCAAAGTGTTGAAAATTCAAGCCAGGGAAATGAAATTGACTCAAGACAATGCTGAGCTCCAAGGTCAGTCACAGGAGCCAGAAACAACATCATTAGATAAGGTGTTGAGTGAAGAAGAATGAAGTAAAATGGAAAATTCTCACAGGAAAGCATTTGGTGTAATGAAGATAAGCAAAAATCTTCATTTACAGATTAGAGCAGAGAATCTGTAGGTCTGAGGAAATGTGTGGGAAAAGACATGATTTCATGACTGCTTATTAACAGCCAGTGTTTACCTTAAAGTCAGTTCAGGAAAGGTTGGCTTTCAAATTAGGAGCAAGGCTTGAGGCTCTGGTCAAGTCATGTCTTGCTTTTGCATTCAAGGATCTTGGAAGTTATCTATATTCTTGTTTTATGACTCTTGCTCAAGTTTTTCTAAGTATTGCTTTTGCTTATGGATTTATGCTGTACTTGTGATTTTTGGCTATTCCTGGACTGTATTACCTTTGGATTTTTATGTGACATTTGGATTCCTGTGTGATTACCACCTATTGCTAAATCTTTTTGGATTATTCCCCTTCTTTCTTTATTCATGCTTTTTTTGCATATATTTTATGTGTTTTTACAATAAACTTTTTGCTTATACTCTGGATTCTTGTGTAGTGCTGTGGTCATAGGTGGCTCCAGACCTGGGGTGTAACACGTCCTGACTCCAACAGTAGAGTAAATTACTACAGGAGTCAGGACCTCCTTTCCACACCAAACAAAAACTTTAAGAAACCACCCAGAAGGGGACTCCTAGCCTTTAAGGGGCATTTCTGAGCTTTGTCTGTTCTGTAGTAGATAATAATAATACTTTATTTATAACCCGCCCTATCTCCCCAAGGGGACTCATGATCTAGAAGACTTTGGGATCATTTAAAGTAGCCCAACCCTAACCTCAGGTATGCCCATCACATCAGGCACATGATCCCTTTTCATACAGCAATGCAAAAAAGTTATGAATATGCCAGTGTGGAAGTACAGCATCAACATCATTACAAAGAATGATACAAAGTGGAAAAAGGAAAGAAAATAATTTAGGATATCATTATAGGTCACAGGTATTGTCCCCCCAATCGTCTAACTGAACTTGCCTAGAGATATTACAACTGCCAAAGTATTTATTTGAGGAAAGTATTTTGTTGTTCAGAGATTTTCTATGATTTCATTTTCAGTGAGTTGGTGTGAGCTGGCTATTTTATATGTTCCTGACTTTTTACTGATATAGCTAACATTGTTGCCTTCATTATATAAGGACTTTTTAGTACGTTGCATAAATTTGTCTGTTACCATATAACAAAAAGCAGTATACAAGTATATTTTCTCACATCTTTACAAAGCCAATTCTTCCTTGCTCTACCCCCACCACAAACTTTGCTCCTTCTCCCACTCATTCAACTTTCAACATCAAAATCTAGGCCCTGAGAAGGATACAGATTTCAAACCCCGAATCTGGATTCATCTTCTCCATGTCAGACGTGACGCCTCTTGATAATATCAGTGTAAAAAGCAACGTGCAGGCCCGAAAATAATCCATCTTTTAGATCCTAGATTGTGGAAAAAAAGTAGGAAGGAGATAGTAATGATTGCGATTTAAAATACAGAAAGCATCCCACATATTCCATAACTGCAAATAATTCCACTGGTGCACAGGTCTGTTTCATGAAGGGATCCTCCCACAACTTTTGCTTTATCCTCCAATCTACCTACATTATTAAAATGAGATATATGAATGCAAATGGTGTTCAACTTTTAATGGTTTAGTTTCCAGATTTTATTATCTGTACGTTTGTCAGTACTGCTTAACTAGCAATGTAAAGAGCTACTGCTTAGTTAGTTGGTACTGGTAGTAGTGGAGGTTCTCACTGTATTGTAATGTCAGTGAGTAGCAATGGGAGCCACTCCCATGGGATGCTGGCTCTGCTTTCCTCCTTTCCCCTTATCCTCCTCCTGTTTCCCCACTCACTTCACAGAACTCTCTCTTGCAAACTCCTCCATGCTTTTGCAAGCAGTGAGTGAAGGAAACAGTTGGGTGGCCCAGGTCCATCCTGTCGACAGATCAAAGAAGATGAGAACACCGTAATTGGAGGCTGATTTGGCCCTTAAAAAGCTCCTATATCTGGGAGACCTCACAGGAACAGGCCATTGTGAGGTTCATTCTCCTTGTGCTTCTCTTTTTCTCTGCCTACTGCCAGCAGCCACAGCCCATTACTCTCTTCGCCACTTTGGCATCAAAACACACCCACTTTGCTCCTAGGCTGCCTCCACCAACTTCCTTCGGTCTCAGATTTTCAGAAATGTTAACAACTGCAAACATGACATACTTTATCTTTCTCTAGAAGAAGGATCTTTGCTTCAAGTATTTCTGCCAAAAGGTTTCAGTACTTTTAGTACCATCACATATTTTAATATGCAATGTCGCTTCCTCAGTAAGATGGAAAGGAGGATATTGACTTATTGCATAGTCATGCCAGTAACAGCAGTTCCAAAATAATGTGTTATCAAAGGTTTTAATGGCTGGAATCACTGGATTGCTGTGAGTTTTCCGGGCTGTATGGCCATGTTCCAGAAGCATTCTCTCCTGACGTTTCACCCACATTTATGGCAGGCATCTTCAGAGGTTGTGAGGTCTGTTGGAAACTAGGCAAGTAGGTTTTATATATCTGTGGAATGATGTCCAGGGTGGGAGGAAAACCTCTTGTATGCTTAAGGCAAGTGTGAATGTCGCAATTGGCAACCTTGATTAGCATTTAATGGCCTTGCAGTTTCAAAGCCTGGCTGCTTCCTGTCTGGGGCAATCCTTTGTTGGGAGGTGTTCGCTGGCCCTGATTTTTTCCCGTCTGGAATTCCACTGTTTTTTTAGTGTTGCTCTTTATTTGCTGTCCTAACTTTAGATACTCATGGCCTAACTTTAAATACTCATGGCCAGATATTGTTCATTTTCATGGTTTCCCCCTTTCTGTTGAAATTGTCCACATGCTTGTGGATTTCAATGGCTTCTCTGTGTAAGCCTGACATGGTGTTTGTGAGAGTGATCCAGCATTTCTGTGTTCTCAGATAATATGCTGTGTCCAGGTTGGTTCATCAACGCTAATCAGGATGGCTAATTGCAACATTCACACACAGACAAGAGGTAATATGTATACATTAGATTAATTAGCCAAATTCATATAGGTGGAAAACTAAATTAGATTAAACTACTTCAAATTGATTACTTATTGGGTTAGTTATTAATTGTGGTAATGGAAGAAGGCACCAGTCAGGCAAAGGTGTCTGTATAGAATGAAGATTGTGAATTGCTATTTGCAAACCTGCACTAATATGGGAAGACTGCTGGGCAAAGGAACCCATAGGTGGAGCTCTTGTGGCTTATCTTTGAATTATTAAACTTTACTCAAGTAGTCTTTGTCAACTCTTTGACTGTCATTTACTGCCAATCATAGCATCTGTCTAAACACAAATTTTGGTATTGAGCACGGGTTCAGCACTTTGAGAATCCCAGCTGTCTCCTCTCTTTTCTAAAAAGCTCTTGGAACAGTCAAGACAATTGACATTGCAAGGAGACAGCAGAGCCTTTGATGAAAGAATGATGGAATGAATAAGATTTCCATGGGGGGCTGAGTTTAGCTTCAGAATAGACATGATTTCCTGATAAAAATGACGTGTGCCAATCATTGTGAATGCTGGCTTCATATGAATGTCACTTCAAAGCAGGATGGAGATGCAAACAAGCAGGGAAGAAATATTCCACATTATGAGACAAATGAACGAAACCTGCAAAAATTGAAGTCTCGGGTAACCTATAAGCAAAGCACTTCTCTTCCCTCCCCATTTTTATTTTCCAAAAGCTATTTTACATAAAGGGTTATGGTGGCGCAGCAGGTTAAACAGCTAATCTGCAGAACTTGCTGATCACAAGGTCAGCAGTTCGAATCCGCCGACAGGGTGAGCTCCCGCTGTTAGGCCCAGCTCCTGCCAACCTAGCAGTTTGAAAACATGCAAATGTGAGTAGATCAAAATGTACCACTTTAGTGGGAAGGTAATGGTGCTCCATTCGGTCATGCCAGTCACATGACCTAGAAGGTGGCTATGGAAAACACTGGCTCTTCGGCTTAAAAATAGAGATGAGGACCACCCCCCAGAGTCGGACGCAACTAGACTTAATGTCAAGGGGAAACCTTTACCTTTATTTCACATAACTCTTCACAAATTCCTAATCTGCTGCTTCATCATGATGAGGTGACACAGAGCTCTCAAAAATATGCCACTGGAGCACAGATTCTAGAAAGCTGGCAAGGCATGAACCATGGTCCACATGGCAGACTATATGTTTGTCATCTAAGAACCAACCTAGCTCAGTATAGGCAGGCTTATCATGAGAACTGAGGCCATCAGATAACAAACTGGCCACAGCAGATAGGAACATAATGGTATGGAATCATTTTGACTTGCATTGGTAAAGTACATCAATGAAAATTATGGAAAGTATGAATCTTCAAAACATGCTGTGACTCTTGAATATGTTCCATCTTCACTGAACTATTTGAGGGGTTTGTTGTACTCATAGAGGAATTATTGTATTAATTTTCAAATACTTCTCCAAATGTTGAGATTCCCCCAAGCTTGTCAGTATTACTAACTTCTTGCTTCCTAGTGGCCCCATTCTGGCTAAAATCCAGGTCATTCCCACCAGTGGAACCTGCTTTTGTAATGATTAATGCAGAAAATTGTTTCACTGTTTATCCCAGAAGATACAAGGCAGAAATTCCATTGCTGTTCTTGTTAATATTTTTCTATACTGTAAATAATACATGACTAAAAGGTAAAGGTTTCCCCTTGACATCAAGTCTAGTTGTGTCCGACTCAGGGGGGTGGGGCTCATCTCCATTTCTAAGCCAAAGAGCCAGCATTGTCCATAGATGCCTTCAAGGTCATGTGGCCGACATGACTGCATGGAGCGCCGTTACTTTCCTGCCAAAGCGGTACCTATTGATTGACTCACATTTGCAGGTTTTTGAATTGCTAGGTTTGCAGAAGCTGGGGATAACAAAGGGAGCTCACCCCGTTCCCCTGAGTGGAACCGCTGATCTCTCGGTCAGCAAGTTCAGCAGCTCAGAGGTTTAACCTGCTGCGCCATCACAAGCCTCTCAAAAAAGGATGAATTGCTGAAAGATCATTAACAGCACATGCATAGTTATTTTCTTTCTCTTCTAAAAACATATATAATCTTGTAACAGAATGGCTCTTTTGCACCCTGAATATTACAGAGCTGAGACAAGGAAACCCAGCACAACTTTGCATCATCTTCACCTAGTGACTCTGTCTTGACTGTATTGTCGAAATCGGAATCACTGTATTGTTGTAAGTTGTGAGGTTACCTCTGAGGATGCCTGCCATAGATGCAGGCGAAACGTCAGGAGAGAATGCTTCTAGAACATATCCATACAGCCCGAAAAACCTACAATAACCCTCTGTCTTGACTGTCTTCTTCTCCATTCTCCCCAAATTCCCAAAAGAGAGTGGCCCCATGAATCCAGGATATCTAGGATTGTCTGTCCTTCCAGGGCATGGTCATTAATCAGACCCTGAGCTGCTGAACGCAGAAGCTGAAGTATTGGGTCCATACCCTTCCTGGCTTAAGAATCCGCGTTTCTTGCCCAAGAACATAAAAGTAATAGAAACTTTCTGTATGGTACATAGTTTATGAGAAAGACCACAAGAGAGTACCTCTGTGTTGCTTTGGCAGCAGGAAAGATTTCAAATTACACAGAAAGAATGTGACCAATCCAGAAAATATGTACTTTTTGCACTAGAAACAGGAAATTGCAGACAGCTGTAAACATTCAAAATGCTAATTAGTCAATGTACGCACTTTGAATTAAATATGCCAAGAATATGAAATTACAGATAGCTGCAATAATCAAAGAATGCTAATTCGTTCATTATATATGTCTGGAATACTGTGTCTAGTCCTGGGCACCCCAATTTATGAAGGATGCTGACAATCTGGAATGCATCCAGAGGAGGGCAGATAAAATGGTCAACGGTCTGGAAGCAAAACCCATGAAGAGCAGTTCAGGGAAGTGGGTATGTTTTGCTGGAGTGGAAATGTGCTACCGCGGTCCCTATCATCTACATATTAGATGATAATTTTACTTAAAGAAGAAAATAAAGACATCTACCTGGTAAATCAAATAAAGAAATATTGAACAAGTTGTTCCAACTAATGAGATGTCCACTAAACCACATCAGGCACAGCTGTCAGTCAATGATCATCAGGAAGTTTCTTCTATGCGTCCTCTTCAGTAACATTACAAGTTTGTTCCCAGTTGAGTTGTGGTATATCCTGTAACAAAAATTAAAATAGTTGAGGAATAATGTCATATAGATGCTCCTAAATAAAATATCTACCATTCCAATTACTGAGTAATAAAACATGGAACCACCCTATTACATCCAAAATCTGGATCTTCAAGACAAGACTTTCTGCTGCTAAAATCCACAAATCTACATTGATAGAGTCTAGCCTCAACTATCTTTTGAAGGATGAGAAGATCAATAAACATTACAGACATGGCTGAATTGGTAGATGGTATTTATTTGCGCTTTTGAAAAGCTTTTCAATGACCACAGAAATCAAAGTTCGCTATCATAGAATCCTTAATAGCCATGAGACATTACTAGTCCTTAACTAGTTCAAGAACAGGAAGGACAAGGTGTAAGTAAATGGACGGCTCTCACAGTGAAAAACATAAGCACTGGAATTCTCAAATGACTCATAGAGCGTGATGAAAAATGAAACAGTCAGCAAAGATCATCAAAAGGATTTCTCCAAACTGGATTGACAGAGGACAAGATGGCACAGGAGGTTAAATTTAAGCAAGTCATGCCTGTTGTAGCAAAATCTTGGCTTTATCAGTCCTCTGACAGTGTCTGAATACAACTGGAAAATCAGAAAAGAGATCTCAGTTATATCTCAATTTTTTTTGTGTCAGGTGTGACTTGAGAAACCGCAAGTCGCTTCTGGTGTGAGAGAATTAGTTGTCTGCAAGGACGTTGCCCAGGGGACTCTAGGATGTTTTGATGTTTTACCATCCTTGTGGGAGGCTTCTCTCATGTCCCCGCATGGGGAGCTAGAGCTGACAGAGGAAGCTCATCCATGCTCTCCCCGGATTCAGACCTCTGACCTGTCAGTCTTCGGTCCTGCCGGCACAAGGATTTAATCCATTGCACCACTGGGGGCTCCTGATTTATATGTCAACGACACCAGTGGAAAATGTTGCCCAAAGTTTTGTTTGTTTTTGTTTTTTGTTGTGTGATTGCCCTGTCTGATAACTGGAAGTTTTAGGGGGTCCAGACATCACCTTATATCACATGTACACAAACTGTGTTTTTGTGCTACTACTGCTTTTGTTCGTCTTTTTTTTTTTTGCAAACAATTCCAATAAAAAGGGAAAAGCATAAAAGTTCCACAACTTTATTTAAGTTTACAATAAAAGGTGTTCATTTAGAAACACCTACAGTGCGCAGTTGCGGTAGAAAGCAGGTATCCAGTCCTGCCGAATATTAAGAAACACAACATAGCTAGCATCACAATAGACTGACTGCACCAGACTGACTGCACCAGAGGCGGCCCTAGGTAATTTTCAACGGTAAGCAAACAGTATTTTGGCACCCCCCCCCCCAACCAATAACTGATATATATTTTCTGTTCGTTGTGGGAGTTCTGTGTGCCATATTTGGTTCAATTCCATCATTGGTGGTGTTCAGAATGTTCTTTGATTGTAGGTGAACTATACATCCCAGTAAGTACAACTCGCATATGTCAAGGTCTATTTTAATAGAATCATAGAATCATAGAATCAAAGAGTTGGAAGAGACCTCATGGGCCATCCAGTCCAACCCCCTGCCAAGAAGCAGGAATGTTGCATTCAAATCACCCCTGACAGAGGGCCATCCAGCCTCTGTTTAAAAGCTTCCAAAGAAGGAGCCTCCACCACACTCCAGGACAGAGAGTTCCACTGCTGAGTGCTTCAAGAGTGCCCCTGAGCAAAATCAACTATACTGCAAATGCTTCCTTTGCGTAATGGGTTGAGCCACCCCTGGACTGCACCCACAGTACACTAATTCAATTAATTGTTGAATGGTAAGGCAATATTGAAGGGCCATGTTAAATTGCTAAGCTGCAGAACTTGTTGATTGGAAGGTCAGCAGTTCGAATCCATGAACAGGGTGAGCTCCTATTATTAGCCTCAGCTTCTGTCAACCTAGCAGTTCGAAAACATGCAAATGTGAGTAGCTCAATAGGTACCACTTTGGTGAGAAGGTAACAGCACTCCATGCAGTCATGCTGGCCACATGACCTTGGAGGTGTCTACTGACAACACCAGCTCTTCAGCTCAGAAATGGAGATGAGCACCACCCCTCAGAGTCGGACACAACTAGACTTAATGTCAAGAGGAAACCTTCACCTTTCCAATATTTGTATAAATCACATGGACTGAATAATTTTGCCCTAGCTTCTAGTGACATCAATTGAATTTAGGACAATGGGCATGGCTGATGTATTGCAGCCACATTTACAAAGCTGTTTATAATTATGACCAATCTTTTCCTGAAAAAATACAGATAAAACCAGAAAAATGGGCAAAGGCAAACAAAAAAGGCTGCAAAATTCACCTTATAAGGAAAAACTATGGTCTTTGTTTACATGCTTGTTTTTTAGTTTGGAAAAAAAAACCCAATATGAAACAAAGATGTGGTGCATGTGTGTTTACTTAGGTCCTCACCACAGTAGAGAATGAATACATTTTAAACCTGCAGAATTCTGGGGTTTGTAGTTTAGGCGGGGGGGGGGGGGCTTTAACAGCCTATCTAAACTACAAACCACAGAATTCTGCAGGAGGCAGAAATTGAATTTTAAGTGGATTTATTCTCTAGTGTGATGAAGTAGGTCTCTTGTCCACCTAAGGAAGTGGTTCCCAACCTTTGGTCCTTCAGGCGTTTGGGACTTCAACTCCCAGAAATCCCAAACTGTTTTTCCAGATGTCAGGAACTGTGGGAACTGAAGTCCATAACACCTGGAGGACCAAATGTGAGCCAATAACTCCATAGGTTTTCTTAGAAAAGAATACTCAGAGGTGATTTTGCCAGTTCCTTCCTCTTATATATAGCCTGCAGGATCTGGATTCACTGTAAGTCTCCCATCTAAACATTACACACTGGTGGCACAGCTTAGTTTCCAAGATTAGACAGGACCTTTAGGATATTTAGGCCACACAGATTTATTAAATCGCAAGTAACATTTTGCAGGAAGGATTGAAAAAATGGCGATTCTCTTCTTTTGTGAATAAGCACACAAGGGTCCAATCGGAATTGAGCCCATAATTGCTTGTTTAGGTGATCCCTCATTGTCCGAGTAGGATTCTCTTCCAATCTCTCTTTCGCCCTTCATTCCTGCCTCTTCAAATTCTACAGCACTGCTGGTCACAGCTGACCTCCAGTTGGAGCGCTCAAGGGCCAGGGCTTCCTAGTTCTCAGTGTCTAGCCAGAGTTTTTAAGGTTGGCTTTGAGCCCATCTTTACATTTCTTTCCCTGTCCTCCAACATTTTCTGTTCTTGAGTTCAGAGTAGAGCAACTGCTTTGGGAGACAGTGGTCGGGCATTTGGACAACGTGGCCAGTCCAGCGGAGTTGATGGTGGAGGACCATCGTTTCAATGCTGGTGGTCTTTGCTTCTACCAGCATGCTGACATTTGTCCGCCTGTCTTCACAAGACATCTGCAAGATTTTTCAGAGGCAATGCTGATGGAATCATTCTAAGAGTTGCATGTGACGTCTGTAGAATCTATCGGTGTCAATGGAGGGGAATTTTGGTCTTGTTTCAGCCCAGAAGAGGGTATGAATTTATAAGGACAACAACTAAGGAAAGATTTAATCCCCCACCATTCCAACATCATAGGCCCAGTCCAGATCAAATCCCTATGAAATATATTATAAATAATGTAAAGTTTGGCTGCACAATTCAATGAATAGCTTAAGCCTATAATGCCTGGATCATGGTGTCGCCAAAGGATTTGAATTTTATTATAATTATCTTATAAATTTAAATTTATACTGTAGTTGTAACATATTGCTTTGGCTCTTAAGAAGGAGAACATTGAGTCTATTACTGAGACTCCAAAAACAAATTCTGAAACAGATGGAGCTGGCCAGTGAGAGATCACTTGGTCTACTGGGATCTTCAAGTCCACACTGCAAAGTGAATGTTAAGCACTGAATACATTAATGTGTATAAAAGAACATTCACAATGAGAAAATAATGGGCATTTGAAAGCCTTTCTATTCTGGGAGCAAAAACAAAGCAAAGAGGAGTGGCTGAAAACTACATTCACACAGCTGAAAGCCAGGCAGCATAAAGCTTGAGGGGATCATCCAGTGGGACAGGCTTAACTCTTGTATTAGCTTACACAAAATAGTACATTGTTATTTTATTTCACTATTTCAAAGAGACCCTGTTTGCTGAAAGAATGCAATGTTATTCAGACACTCTTGTCTAATTCAGTTTAGGCCAGGAGTAACTAGGAACGAGGACAGTTGTGGTAGAATCAGCTATCATCTGCCCGTGGCAGCAGAGCCATGCTGAGTTTGTGGGGATGATTTTTTTCATGTCAGGAGCAACTTGAGAAACTGGAAGTCGCTTCTGGTGTGAGAGAATTGGCCGTCTGCAAGGACATTGCCCAGGGGATGCTCAAATGTTTTACCATCATGTGGGAGGCTTCTCTCATGTCCCTGCATGAGAAGCTGGAGGTGACAGACGAGAGCTCACCCCAATCCCTGAATTCGAACCACCAACCTATCTGTCAGTAGTCCGGGGGGGCCCTGTGGTGATGATGGGTTTATGTTGTTGTTGTTGTTCATTCGTTCAGTCGTCTCCGACTCTTCGTGACCTCATGGACCAGCCTACGCCAGAGCTCCCTGTCGGCCGTTACCACCCCCAGCTCCCTCAAGGTCAGTCCAGTCACTTCAAGGATGCCATCCATCCATCTTGCCCTTGGTCGGCCCCTCTTCCTTTTGCCTTCCACTTTCCCCAGCATAATTGTCTTCTCTAGGCTTTCCTGTCTCCTCATGATGTGGCCAAAGTACTTCAACTTTGTCTCTAGGATCTTTCCCTCCAGTGAGCAGTCGGGCTTTATTTCCTGGAGGATGGACAGGTTGGATCTTCTCGCAGTCCAAGGCACTCTCAGCACTTTCCTCCAACACCACAGCTCAAAAGCATCGATCTTCCTTCGCTCAGCCTTCCCTAAGGTCCAGCTCTCACATCCGTAGGTTACTACAGGGAAGACCAT